CTAAATGATTTGTTGTTCCGGGAACTTTCCATACCATATCTCAGTTTAGAATGCCATTTTTTCTTTCTTCACACCCCCCTGCTCCCATCTGCCTAGCAAACATCTGCTCATATTTCAGGGTTCAGCTTAATCTTCCTTTCCTTGGCAAGGCCTCATCTATCGTGCCTTCTTCCCACCCCAGGTGGAACTGACTGCTTTCTCCTTTAGGCTTATCTCTAATGTCAATTGTCAACATCATTTTGCTTTCTTGGAGGGTCAGCTCCTTCAAGACAATATCCCTGTCATGCATATCTCTGTATCTCTGTACATTGGTTTTCCAGCTCACAGTAGCAGCAAAGTAAGTATCTATTGAATGAAGAATGAATGAAAATGGAGTCTCACCTGGGTCCAGATGTTAAATGAACAAATGTTGATCACCACAGTGTACTGAATTGTCACAACGGCCTGTTGCAGACAGCTCTGTTATTTGTAAATGCATTAAGCCTTAGTTTGCATTAGCAAACAGCTCAGGTGGGTAGTTCCTCAAATGTGATCTGACTTTCAAGGACAGAAAATGGGAACAATGGTGCCTGATGCTAGCTTGCTTCCTTTGCAGTTTGTGAAAGCAACCCCCCCCCAAAACAATTGCCCTCTTGCGCCAAAGTTGGCACTGGCTCTTTTTTCTTTTCCAGAATACTTTCTTCGGTCAGGCAGCACTCCTGTGCTATAGCTGGTAGGCATTAGTGTATTCTGAATTCATTAGGGAAGTTCAGTCTCGAATACTAAACAGATGCTCAGCTCTGAAGAGCTGGAGTCCAACAACAGAAACGCATAACAATTGCCATCTTCTCCTGCTCCTGAAGCTTCACAGAAAACAGGTCTATTTTAGAGGCTGGATCCTGCAGCTGTCCTAAATTCCTACACCTAAAGCCAGGGACCACGAATTTGAGGCAGAAGAGTAACTCAAGAGAGCATGCTAGCTTTACAAGCGCAAACACAATCTTTGTTTCCAATCACCACCAAGGAGATAACACGGATACCAAGGAGCATGGAATTTGTTTTTATAGTGAATCTTTGTACTAAATCAATCAGTCATCAATCAAAGTAAAAACAAAAAACCACTACTAGCCCAGATTACTTACTAATTCCAGATGGAAAAGCTCTAGGCATTATGGAAAAAAACAAAAAACAAAAAACAAAAAACAACCAAACCCACTGACCTATGCTTGAGGTAGATTGGACAGCTGATTTGGAGCAAATGCAAGTGGCTAGGTAATATTAAGCTGTCATGGTGGAAGGTAAGTTTTGGACATTCTGCTTTCACAGTACTATCTAAACTTGTAAAAAAATACTCAGAGAGCAGAAAGAAGGACTAAATTTAGACCCTCATTTAATGCATTCAACAGCATGATTCATTTCCCTCCTGCCTTGGTAGAGCCTGGAGATGTGAACATACAGCAGGCAACACATGAACGCCCTGTAAATAAACAGAATCCTCATTCATTCAGATGCTGTAGAAAGCCGCGGACACCCACTTGCTCTGCCACTCTAGGTGCTCTTCCAGGTACCACACACCCCAGACCTAAGAAGCAGATTTCTGAGCTGCTGAAATGCAGCTAATTTTACCTTGGCTCCAGCTCTGCCCTGGCTACTGGTGGAAATTTATTCCACAGCTCCTCTGCTCTAAGTGACTTTTCCCCTCGAGCTCCAGCGGGGTCCTGACCAGCTCTCAGAGGCCATGCAACACAAGTCGCCCTAATGAAGTTGCCCAGAAGAATGTCATCATTTGGTGTCAGCGTACTTAACGACCCAGAGCCCAAGTCACATCATGGTAGGCCTAAATTGGGTCTCAGAGAGCTAATATTATATATAGCATAAGTACGTGAAAATAATTCTGGGCTGTTTGAACAAAAAGCAAGTACCAGCCAATGGTGAATTCAGTTCCCATGAGTTAAATCAGTGGAGGGCACAGTGCCCAAGTACTGCAGACTGTCACCATCCTGTCCCTACTTCTGCTGTCTTCTGCTTCTAGCCATGGTCGTGCAGTCTGCTTCCAACACCCAGGTGAATATTTTAACCTTCACAGACAACTTCCATGAGTGGTGGGCTATCATGTATGTTAGTCCAACATGGCTTAGAGGGAAAATCACTATTTTTTCATTTTATGTGACTCCATTTTTTTCTTTCAATTTTAGTTTTTAAGCACATTTGGAAAGTAACCTTACATGCATCCTTCTCGGGTCTTTGACCTTATTGGTAGCTTCTATGTTTAGGACAAATGTCAGGAAAAAAAAAGATGAAATATATTCATTAAAAATCTTAGATAACACTGCCTTCCAGAAGTGAAGACACTGAAGCTGTCCCCACTTCTGAGGTATAAGGACCCCACTGTGCATCCTGATTGATAGAAATTATTTCTCCAAACATGAAATGGGTCTAGCTCCTTTGAAATGAAAACCGAACAAGGTTAGGCAAGGAGCGCGTGCACCAGTCACATTCGGAATGCGTCAGCCTGAGAAGGTGCATTGAATGAGCAGCACTGGGAGAAGCCCAGACAGGGGACATCATGGGATGGGCCTGGGAGACCCTGGGCAGGGCTGCGGGTCCAGGTGGATATGAGGTCCAATCAGCCTGAACACATGCTTTACACGCCAATCTGCACACAGCACAGAGAAGAGGCGGCACACCAGGGCAGCGTCAGAGACTTGTACCTTTCTCAAACAGCTTCGTGCTGGGGTCTCCCGGGCAGTTCTGGAAAGCAGGTGGGGCAGGCAGTATCCAGTCCTCTCGGGGCCCACCCAGGGCCACAGTGTGAAAACCAAATCATTTAGAGGACAGAGATGCTCAGTGACCATGGCCAAATGCAATGGCAGATTTGGGGGCGGCCGTCTATATCCATTTGAGAAAGGACCAACCCTCTTTAGCAGTCTAGACTGGCTGATTTAGCTTAGAACAGTGGCTACCTCTGCAGCTGATCTCAGGTCACAGGGAAGGGAAGGGGGAGGGAACAGCCTCACCAAGGCTGCAGCCTTCCAGGACTGGCTCAGGGATGGATAGGGATTTGGGGTAGGGATTTGCTCTCACACACGTAGAGCACCACGGATCTAATTCACAGTGTGGGAATCTAGTTTCATACTTCACTCACACAAGACGCCTCTCTTTCGTCTCCGGGGTGGGGGTTTTCAAGTTCTAAACTACAATCAGCCCTTCGTTGAAAACAGCGATAATAAATCGATGGTGGTGTTTGTTGCACTAGGCTGGGTTCATAGTACAACATCAATAAATGGCCACTGGTAGAGGGACAGATAGAATCCCATTGCTAAACTGCATCTCCATCCCTCCCTCCCCCACCTCACATTGTCAGAAAGCCCACAGGGTCTTCGTCTCATTTGGGGAAAGCTAGGCGAGGCAAAATGGCGCCACTAAGTGGAAAAGCAGTTTCTAGGGGGAGAAAGACAGGTGGGCTTCTAAGCTTTGTTTTACCTTTACGGATCCCTTGAATCGGAGGCTCTCAAAAGGATTTTCCCATCTCTGGGCAGCTGTCTCAGTGATGTCTGCACATTGTCACCAAAGACATCATAGCCCCGGGAAAGAGCTAGGCATGGTAGCTCTCATCTGTAATCCTAGCATGCTAGGAGGCTGAGGCAGGAGAATTGCAAGCTAGATCCTCCCCGCAAACAAAACAAACACAAAGGGGAGAGTTGAAATTCCTTCTCAGTAAGTTGGCTAGCTTCACAAGGCAAATATTTGTTCTAATGAAAAGTTCCAAAGAGTCTTGTTTGCCTCAGATTTGAAGGAAAAGTGTATTGGTTTAAAATCCCCGAAGCAGGGGAAAACGACACATTGTGTGTTCTGTTGCCAGTGGACATAGCTCTTCGCTGGCCTGAGGACTCTCATCTGGGGCTTTGACTTTACCTTCTGAGTCTTGGTCATGCTTGGGATGGGCAGGGGTGAGGGGAGGCTGACTAATCTCTGCTCCTGCTCTTAATAAGCTGTGCTACCTTGTTACGTAACCCTAAGCCCTGCCCACAGTCCAGGGCTCAGACGGCTGGCCTGTCAGCAAAAAATGTATGAAAAATGTTAATTCAACAATGTTTGAGGCCTATTATTTCCAGAGCTAAACTCCTCAGGGAAAATAAGAAATAGCCGCCCCTGGGATTCAACTCCTCCGTACTGTGAGCTGTTCCTTTCTTAATGCTTTCTTCCAAAGTCCTTTCCCAGTGCCTGGTGTGCTCTGACATTTGGTCCAAATAAAATCCTGGAACAGATTCCTAGGCTACAACTATCTGCAAATTCCACGCAAAATGAGTGTTTCTCACGGAGAATCAGCATCTACCAGGGCTTGGATATGTGGATCCCAGTGGGGGCCAGCTGGTGCTTGGTCCACACACTGAAATACTTCATGATAGAGATATGATTTCTTTTCCTAGCATTCATGGCAAGTAACTCAGTCTATAACCTAAGGCATTTTCCATATTTTCAGGCAATGAATACTACCTTCCTAGGAGTCTCAACAGCACATAATTTAAGACAGTGGGAAAGGGAATTGGAGAATAGTTTCCACTGCAAGGAAAATACCATACAGATGTTTGCCCTTAACTCTTGAATTCTGATGGCAAAACTGAGATTGTTTATTTGTTACAAAGTCAAACCCAAGGAATATATTTGCTAGTGGCTGTGGGCTGAGGGCTGGGGTAGCAGTGGGGAATTGTGACATAATATTTTCCTCATACTGAAATGTCCAACAACTGGTCCTCGGATTTGATTTACAAAAAATTTAGGTCTTTTAAAATGGTTCATTTTTGGATCAAATTTGGCATGCCATATGTTAATTTGTGTCACAGAAAGACATACCTGAAGATATACCCAAGAATTGCTTTGCTACAATTGTATGTTTACCTTCTGTAATTTTTTTTTCCACTGACATATAACAAGCTAGAAATTGGTCCTCTATCTTGAGCCATTTATTGAGAACGAACAGATGAACTTGGAAAAGACAAGACCCAATTGAAGTTAAATACCTGACTTTGGTGTATGAGAATCATAAACTTGCTTACGGTCTATCTGGTCCGCAAACACTTCCCCATAAATCATCCAGTAGGGCATGTAGAAGATGTTCTTGGCCAGTTTCCAGGAGGGCTCCTCATTGGGAAAGAGGATGGCTTGCCTGGCGACCCCAAAGCTCATCAGCACCACCAGCATGATGATGACAAAGTACATCATGTCTATCATCTGGGAAGGTGGAGAAGCAGAGGGAGAAACAAAGGAAAAGCCATGAGATGGAGCATTCCTGTGAAGGCTGACGCCAATGGACACCTGTGGACACTCGCTTTCTAGACTGCTGATAACATAGACGGTTAAATAGGCAGCTGTGTCCAGATAAGAGGCCTATGGCAGTTATTGTCCGCACAACCTTATTAGCAACTTAAAAGTGTACACAAGATGGATCCCCTTCATGTCCCATCACTGTGCATGGGACGTAGGTGTGGAAGTCAGACACCACAGACCCTCGGGTCTCTAAGGCAGTCACAGAGGGACCTCTTTATCTGCTCTTAGTAAAAGCAAATGTCTTCTTTGGGCTTCTTTTTAAAATTGGAATTCGGGGAGTTTGAATTATTTCAAGAACTAATGCAATGCAGTAAATTCCCTCTCTCATCCCAGAAAAGCTAATGAAGAGCTGGAAAGGGCGTGAAAATAATTTCTGATCAATAAAGCTGGGGCAAACCAATATCTCAACCTTGTGACCTTGTCTTATCGGATGATATTTGGCCACAAATCTGTCTACAGAGAAAAGCACGCTGTTTATACTTCTGAAGGGGATCCTGGCAGAGAGTGTTTTCTGAAATATTAGGGTTGGGTGACCCCATGAGCCATCCCAATGCCTGCTGCGGGGATGATCGATTTTTGCCTTGATATGCTTATAAAATCCTCCTGAGTGTATCCTAGTAACAATATTATCTCTTGTTCATCTTTCTCCTTTTTTCCTTGTTTGTTTCCATGGTATTTGTTGGATCTATTTCTCATATGCCAAATCGCTTTCCTTTTATCATCCAAGAAGAGACTGCAGTAATGATCGATGTTGCCTGGCCAGAAGCCACCAGAGAATCTTCTTTTAGAAATAGGCCCCGCCCACCCAGCCTCTGAAGTCGGTGTTTTCCAGGCTAGGTTCCTATCTCACCCCCTGGAGACAGTGATAGGAGATAAGCATGTGACAAGAGAGGCCTACCAGATGCTTTTTCTTTGCTTAACTGAAGTTGTGGGAGCCATAAGTTCTCTTCCTTCTTCTAAACATTGTAAATTTATTGTGCCTGAGGCTGAATTTCCCTCTGGTGAGACTGATCCAAGTGAGACAGATATTCTGTTCCATGCAGCAGAAAGAGAACCAGAGTTGGCATAGGCCGAGTCCTGAGTCAGGTTTCATCCTGTCATTCTCCAAGTCCATCTGTCTCTAAGGGTTAAGCTGGTTGGACTTTGGTTCCTAACCCTTGCATCAAAGTATGTGATACAAAAACTACTTCCTCTTGGATCCCATAGGTCCAGAGGGAATGCCCATTCACAAAGAATGATGAAAAGTAATTTATCAACACTAATGAAGGCTACTTAGTGTCTCAGGGTGTTTAACTGTTGTGAGTGCTGAGGTTTGAACCAGAGACTGATGCACACTAAACATGTTTTACCACTGAGTTACACCTGCAGATCTCCAAATTAGTTTAAAACTGTGTGTTAAAATAGTGTATTCTGTGGTGCCCATTACTGGAATGCAAACATTAGAGCCTTCCTGAATGCCTTAGGATATTGGGGTCTCAACATATTGTAGATCAATTAATCACTTTTCAAGATGGCTTCAAAATTCATCGTCCTAAGTATCCTATGCCTAAACCAAATAGGAATCTCTCCAAGTTTGACATTCATTCTCATTTTCTCGTGCTGTGTGGTTACTGCATCCAGGTTAGTGGTCTCAGAACTCTCAGCGAGCAAGCTGACTGCAGAAATAGTTTTATAGAAAATATAGGTCTAGTTTTCACCTCTGCTCTCTCATTTTTATTTTGTAAAATTCTTTCAACACTTATTTTGAAAGTTCTATGAGAGCCAGGCATGGTGGCTCACTCCTGTAAACACAGCTCTTGGGAAGCTGAGGTGGGAGGATCGTTGTGAGTTCAAGACCAGCCTGGGCTACAAAGTGAGCTCAAGGCCAGCCTGAACTCAAAAAAAGACCAAAAAAAAAAAAAAAAAAAAAAAAGTTCTATCAGTGAGAAAGTACACATGGGTCCTTCATGCTACGTTTATTTACATAGTTAAAATAGAGGTGGGAGAGGGAGGTGTGTTCTCATGAGATGGAGCCAAATAGGCAGTAAATACAGAAACTGCACTGATTGTTTTCCAGGATTGTTTTCATTCAAGTTGATTATGTTATGTATCCAAAGCAATTAGAGAGAAGAACATTCTTCCTGAGTTCTTAGCTTCATATATTTCAAAGTCTTCATTTTATTAAAATACCAGAATTTGAGAATTATCAGTGAACACAAAGGACCGGATTCCTTTGTTTTAAAGCTAAATTATCCAATCAGTTCAAAAGATTCTGTTCCATTCTTGGACCTTCTAGATGTTCAGCAGGGGAGAGTATACAAGTAAGCATATGTTCTGGGAGGTCAGACAGCCTGGTTTTCATGTTGATTTTGCCAGGAAATATAACTACATTAAGGAAAAAAATTATCACCAAAAAACCCAAAAGTTTTCCCAACCAAACCAACCAAACAAACAAAAAACGCAAAAAAAAAAAAAAAAAAAAAAAAAAAAATTAAAAAGGAGAAGGAATTTTAAAAAGCTAAGTGGCCTGGTGAAAACTGCTTACTCTTTTTTAATTTTTAAAATAGAGGTAATAATATATGTTACTTTCACAAGGATTAAGTGTGCCAGTATGTGAAGGCTTAGTGTGGTAATTTCTCAGTCAGTGATAACACGTCATTGTTAGACTTGCAGGGAGGTCAGGCTGTGGAGGCAGGAATTTGATTCTACATTGCTGAGTCTCAGTTTTTTCAGTTATTGAAGGAAAAGACTAAAATCTGTATAATGATGAATTTCACGTGGCACCTGGGTATGCCAGGGGAGGCGGCATGGGCCTGTAATCTCGGCACTTGGGATGCTGAGACAGGAGGATTTCAGTGAGTTTGAGGACAGTGTGGAGCAGTGCCTGAAGACCAGCCTAAACCACACAGTGAGACTGTGTCTCACAAAACCAAACCAAACCACCCCGCGGTTCCTGGCACACAGTAAACGATAGCACTGTTGTTTTTATTCTGCATTATACAGGTGAGCTTGATGCCAACTAGAGGTAGAGAATTCCCTTGAAAAGGGGAGGGTGAAGGGAGGGGTCAGGACTGCAAAGGATCCTGGACCTGCACATCCTCATCAGTTGGCATCGCACTACAGATACGGGCTTTCCATGCCGTGAGGCTCATGTGTACTAGCTTCTCACACAATGTGAAGACACACGGACCAGTGCCAAGGAGATCCCTGCCATCCTGTGTCCAGTGACCCTCTCAGAGCGCAGCGAGGTACCTGGCTGCTTAGCACTGCAAAGGAACTTCCTGGGATCACCCTGCTAAGCGTCCAGCCCAGCAATTCGTCTGGTTCATCAATATAGGTGTATTTGATCCACCTTCTGGATCAATGGCTCCATTATTGAACTAATTATCTCATTTTTTGTTTCCAATTGTCTTCTGTTAAACTTTTGTTTTTATTGCAATATGTTTGCAGCACACAATGATCACACTCAGCGTGGGACATTGGTCCATGCTCACAGCACATCTTAATTCCTTTTACCTTCCATCCGCTCCCTTCTTCCGGGACACATTCATCCTTTCTTCCTGCCTTCTCTCCCTCCCCTCCTCCATGTCTTGATCCCCTGACCATCTGAGAAAGATCTCCCTCCCTGCTTCCTACTATGTCACTTTTATTTTGGAGTGAACTACCTTAAAAGCCTCATGAAAGAGAAGCAAAGTCCCTACCTCTCCTCATTTTGACTTCTTCTCCACTGATACATGAAGTCATTCACCCGTTAGAAGGCAGGGGAGATGCAAGCATCCTTCCTGCTCACCCTTGGTAAGGTTCCAGTCTCGTCAAAAGTGGGATAAGAATGCCATTATTAAAGTGTTAGGCCTGGATTTTAAGATAATCTTGCTGCATTAGTGTGATTTTAGTTCTTTCAAGGACTTAAGAGCTACCTAGACTTTTTCTTTCCTTTTTATTTACTTATTTTTTTGGAGACCAGATCTCACCACATAGCCCAGGTTAGCCTGAACCCTTGATTCTCCTCCTGCCTCCGTCTCCTGAATGCTGGGATTCCAGGCATGTGCCAGCAAGTCCAGCTTTTTAAAATTAATTAATTAATTAATCAATCTAGTGATAACAAGATTGAATACAAGTGTCACCTCCCTTGTAATATTTTTATTTTCAGACAGTCTTGGTAAGTTGCCCAGCTTGGCTGTAAACTTGTGATCCTCTTGCCTCAGCCTCCAGAATATATAGGATTATACGCATGTGCCACCACATCTTCCTCCACCTAGCCTATTAAAGGTAGCATATTTGGTTTATTTGGGATGTTGTTGAAATAAACTCAGGCAGCCATCAGACAAAACATCCAATCAAATGAAAATCTAATGCAGTGGTTCACAGAGGGTGGTTTTGTCCCTGAGGGGGATTTGGCAATGTTTGGGGACATGTTTGTTCTGGCTGTGTGAGTACATGCGTGTTCTCTGCAGCCATCAGAGGCTGAGGGTGCCGCTGTGCATCCTATGATGCCCAGGACATGACCTGAAATCATTACCCAAATATCAGAAGATTAGTTTCCAAATATCAGAAGAGTCAAGGGTAAGAAAACTCAGCCTGATTTGACAGTTCTGAGTGCTTTTTGGTTTCATCAGTCCAATTGAGAATACATCTGACAACTTTGTAAAAGCCGGCCCCCAGAAACCCTACGCACTATATACACAGACTGGGGAGGGTCTACAGGGCCTCTCTCCTGAGCCCTGTGTGTGGACTGTCTTTAGACACAGGAATTTTCACTACAGTCTCAGATAAACTGTTAAAGGACAAAGAAGATTATATAACAGGTGGAATGGTAAAGTAATAGGCTCATTTTTTTTCCTGATCAAAAACTGCCCATTGAATGGGGGTTCAGCTTTGAGTAAGTAACTCAGATTTGAGAATTGAAGCTCTTCCTCTCTAGAACAGGTTTGCTGATATTTACTCTAAATAATGTTGGTACTGTGAATACCAAGGCGGTGTCCAAAAGGGTCAGCTATAGCACAGACTGTGCTCACCAGTTTTTCCGTTCTTCATTGACTTTAAAAACCATAATATAAACACAGTGTTAACAGATATAATTTATCAACTACCATTGGCCATGGAACATGCGATATTTCTAAGCATCATGAGGGACACAGTTATTGCTCATGGCTGCTTTAGCAGTGAGTAAACTGAATCTTGAAGAGGCTAAGTAAACTGTTCAAGGGCTCCAGGTCATCTGAATTCAAATTCTTCCTTTGCACATGAGTTTGTCAGGGCTTTTGTGGGAAGAGTTCTGGCTTAAGAGTCATTTCAAGGGGCATACAGGCAGATAATGGGGGGAGGATGGACATATTATATAAATATATTACATGTACTGAAGCCCCCAAATGTGAAACTGGGGGGAGACAAACAACAGAGGTGAAAATTATCAAAGTATGGTCTGTTCATGTATGACTCTGCCAAAATGAAATCTATCAGTCTGCAAAAGCTACTTATTTATTTATTGTCTTTTTGAGACAGAGTCTCACGGTACAGTTCAGGCTGCCCCTGAACTCACTCTGCAGCCCAGGCTGGCCTTGAATTTGCGGTGATGCTCCTACCTCAGACTCCAAAGTGCTGGGAAACAATTGTAAAAGGTGAGAGAAGACTCATGTTAGTAGAGCTATGAGCAGGTGTTTAATGAATACTGAGTCATCAGCGAGGTCTGACAGTGACACCCGAGTGGTGACGAAAGGGCGCACGGGGGACACTCGCTGCTTCCAAAGCTCATGCAGCGGAAGTGACCAGGATTAGCAGGGAGGCTTTGCACTGAGAGACGTTTGTGCAGATGGGGTGGGTGGACTGAGTTCCCCCACACACGTCCTGGGAAGGTAAAGCAGGTGACACACTTAGAGAAGTGGGGGAACTGGTAAATGTCCCTTCTCTGGGCGTCAGGCTCTGATTCTTTCTCTAGTGAAGAGTTTGGTGTGGGAGTTGAATGAGCCATGCGCTACCAGATTCACAGTGATGCTGTCTTGCTAGGGTTCTGTCTTTATGAGGAAAATCCAGAAGCTGGTGTGTGGTTAAGGAGTATCAGAAAAAGGTCTTGGCCATTTGTATGGAAGCAGATTGGCTTGACACTTGGGGTTCCTTTGTAAAAAATTAGTGTAAGCAAGTGTATCATTCCCAAATCTGGTTTTAAAGACATCACTCACTGCCCATCAGTGTAACAAGATACCTGACCTATAACATTCAATTCCAACTCAGCTCTGCTCTGAGAAACTACATCTGTATTTCTTCTGCATAAAAAGAGCAAAACTTCTAAAACCTTTCTAAAACTTCACTTTAAAAAAGATAACACATCTTTTAAAGCTGGGAATGGTAGCACATTCCTGTAATCCAAGCTCTTAGGAGGCTGGGCAAGTTTGAGGCCAGTTTGGACAACTTAGCAAAACTTTGTCTCTAAATAAAACACTAAAAAAGGCTGGGGATATAGCTTGGTATTCTGTAGATTCAATCTCCAGTACTACCCACCCCCAACACAAAGACAAAGACAAAGACAATGAAAGAATCTTTTAAAATCCATTTTCATTTTGATGGTGGTGGCAGCCCATTCCTCCTCCAGCACTCTGCTATGGTGTAAGCTTCCCATCAACCCTTTCCCTGACCTACGCTTTTTCTGCACTATACACAAATCTCTGGCAGCATTTTCGTACTGCATGTTAATGTTCTTTCTTCCTTTTTCTCAATTTTGGTTCCACAGAAAGAGCATCTTTGTATACTCAACTCCTCGGCTTGGCACAGAACAAATGATCTTTATATATGTTTCAGCTTGCCAATGGGTGGCTGGTGATTAAATTCCTGTTTTTGTATACAGATGTAGTCAAACTCTCAAACACTTAAAAGGAGTTTTAAAAAAAAACATTCCTAGGGCCATCTCCTGTAGACCTCTTTAAAAGTTCTCCCGTTACCTCTACTGCTTCTCTAAGTATGTATAACGCGGCGTCAGGGGACCCTGCTTACCATTTTTCCAATCATCATTACATAGGGGCCCAGATATTTGTTCACGCCGAAGATGTCTAGTAAGCGGATGTACCAATAAATGATGTTCACACAATAGATGACTCTCCCGTCGCTGCGGAAGGGCTGGTCTTGAAGACGAAGGATCATTCCGACCGAGAACAGAAGGATGGCTATGAGGTCTGTGACGTTCCAGTACTCCTGCAGCCACACCTTCACCTTCTGCAGCAGCTTGCCCGGCTCCGACATCAGGATCTAGAGAACCGGAGAGAGCAGGTTAGGTCTATTTCCTGTCTCTAGTTTCCATACTATTGTCCGATGCTTGGTCCATGAGCTGACCCTGGAGGTTTATACGCTCTGTTGGTGTCCACCTTAATGCTTTCATGCTATGAATGTACAATGGAGCTTAGCGTAGCCGATCCAGATTGGTAAGGTCTAGAAGCAGAGATGAACAATAAGTTTGATCCTTGGAGTTGCCTTACCATCCTATGACACGCGGTGGGGCTTTGCTCTAAGATTATTTGCACCTAATGCACTACGAACCTCACAGATTTCCCTCCATCTCTACAAGCAGCTCCGTCCTGTCGGCTTACTCAGGCCACTCTGATCGGAAGGCTCCTCAATCCTCTCGTGTACCAGCAAGTCCTTGTACCTCTGTTTCTAAATACAGTGTGGCCAGTCACCTCCCACTCCCTCCACCGCTGCCACTTCGTTCTAAGTCCTTGTTTTAAGTTTCCCTGCATACATGATCACAGCCCTTCTGACCACCTCCTTGTCAGCCTGCGGTCCCTCCCCTAGCCACGCACAGGATGATCTCAAAACACCTATGATTCTGTGGTTCCATATGGGGGTGAGAACTCGTCAAACTGCATCCTTACCAGGAGTTCATTTTGTTACAGGTAGCTTGAACCCCAATTCTGAAACAGAGACATGAGTGATGAACAACAGAAGTTTATAAAAATTATGATACCTGCACCCCTGAACTTTCAGTGGCTTTCAGTGGCTTTCAGTGGCTTCCATCACAGTCAGAGAAGCACCTGAACTGCTCCTGTGGCTTTTTGCATCTCCCGTCCTCCGCCATTCTCCATCCTAGCTGCAGTAGCCTCCATGTCTCCAAGTGACTGGCACTGTATTTAATTTTCTGGTTTTTATCACTCTATGAAATCACTTTCTCCATACATGTTTTTTTTTCATGAATACGTGTCTGCCTATCCATTCATTCACCCATCTTCTACCTTCCCATCCACCCATTCGTCTATTCCCCTGTCCACGTACCCGGCCACTGCCCAGCATTCTCTTCCCTAGACTGCAGATGCCGAGGACAGACCCTGTATAGCCCAGACCTGCTCCACAATGGACACAATGGGTATCTGTCCATGGATTGGCTGCCAGTGTTACTTGGGTACCTGGCAGCAGTTCTTGGTCTCTTACATGTCCTCATCCTGAGTAGAACTCTTGATTTACCTTAAGCCTTGAGGGACAATGACATATGGACATGGACATGCACAGCTGGACAGTAGGAAACCTCCACCATACTCTGGCCAAGATGCGAGGGACCAGGGAGCCCAGCCTAGCGAAGGAGCCAGGCCACCTTAATGAATCTCTTGTGACTTCTCAGGTTTCCATCCTTCAAACCATGATCCACTGTTTCCCCCAGCTGGGACCTCTCAAAGCGGGAAAGACTGGACTAGATTTGCAGCTGTTGGTTCGACTTCTCCTGTCCACTGTAACGGTGGACTCTGGTCTAAAATTCTAAGGAAGGGGGGTGTCACTAAGGCAGGGGTGGGTCTCCAGGAGGCAGAGTGAGCCACCATGGCTACCTGGTAGTCTCATCCTCTGTGGGTCTCCTCTCTAAGCCTAGCCTGGGGTTTCTTAAGCCCTCATGGGCATCAGAGTCAGCTACGAGGCTGTTTGAAGCCCACACGGAGGCTCTGCCACCGCTTCATGCTTCGGCAGGCCTGGGTGGGGCAGGGAAGCTGCCTTTGCCATGTATTCCTGGGTGGCACTGCTCATGCCCTACCCACCAGCAGTTCCTGCAGCTGGTGGTGTCTTGACACCTCTCATTCTCTGGCTCTATCCTCACTGGGCAAAAATCCACGTATGTGTGTGCGTGTGCATGTGTGCGTGTGCATGTGTGTGTGTATGTGTATGTGTGTGTGTAGAGAGAGAGGAGGAAGGAGGATGGACAGCATCTTAGAGCTTTTTGACCCTTTGCTCACTCTTTGCTAACACAGAATGCGGATCATTGTGGGTACTGGGGGAGGGCAGTGAGTCTCAAGATGAGTCCGACAGATTTCACCCTCAGCCCTCCTTCCTAGCCATGGGGTTTTAAAAACTGCTGAATCCCCGAGTCTTGGTTTCCAGACCTATGGAGCTGGATGTGCTCACCGCCTCCCTCTGACCTTGCCGGGCTGTGGGAGGAGGTCCCGGTGAGATAACGTCTACCAGAGCGGGCCAGGAACAGTGCCGTGCCATTAAGGGATTACCGTGGCTCACCCGGGCGACCACAAGCAGAAGTGTGTGGGGACAGGAAGGGGAGGGCGGCCTGCAAAACCACAAGACCTTCCTTGTGTCTCCCGCGGAAGGCATAGGCGTGTGCAAACTTTTCCAGGGCTCTGGGCTCTGAGCTGCTCAGGGTGTGCATCTGCCTAGGACAAGCGGGAAGGCCGTGCCTGTGGGTCCTGCGACCGATGCCCGGTGCCCGTGTCCCTGGCCCCTGGAGCTGAGCTTCTTTCTGCTGAGTTCAGGGCAGGACAGGGCCCAGACCCCTGGAGGCGACCTCTGAGGAGAGGGACACAAAGCCTGTGTCCCCTGCCTCCGTCCCTCCCGGGGCTTCCCCAGAGGCCAGGACTTTTCACTGACCCTGTCTAGCTCCGTCTCCGGCCCTCCTGTGCCGCTTCGGGGACGCAGGTAGCAGGCTTGGCAGCCTCCCCGGAACAGTCCTGGAGCACAGGACTGTCTCTTCCCTGTCTTCCCGCCGAGTCCCTGGAGGAGCTCCAGCCTCCGCAGCTCGGGGACACAGTGTGCATGGGGGCGTTGGGTTCTGGATCGCCCGCTGGCACTGCACAGCCAAGGGCCTCACACTGACCCCAGGGGAGGCGGCACTGTGGTCCATTTGAGGACAATGCCATGACACTGGCCAAGAAGCAGGAGGCCCTTCAAATGGGGGTTGTGGTGTGGACAGCTGGTGACCGCTCCTGTTTGCACTCAGGTTAACCCAGTGTCTTATAAACCAGGACCAGGGTGCCCACACCTGTTCCCAGGATGGAGAAAAATACTGGCGAGAATGAAGGGGTCCTCCAAGCAGTTCGAATACCCGAGACAGAGGGCTCTGAATGCAGATGACTTTTAATGATCCCAATACGAGTACATTGGACAGCCACTGCATCTTTTTCTCTAGAGAAAATTCTAGAGCTGAAATTCAAGGAGGTGAGGACCTTTGGACCTGTGCTAGTGATGAAACAGCAAGCGTGGATTTGCAGATCGTAGGGATCCTTTTTCCTGTGGTGCCCACTCCCTGAGTTTAGCAACCAGGATGGCTTTGAGCTATTGCAGAGGTGCAGTGAATGGGACAGAAGCATCACTTTCAGAGGGGGCCCCTGAGGGCTCCACGGCTCCAGGGAACAGGCCCCAAACCCTCAGCATCCCACCAGCCTGTCCTGGCTCACGCTGTTCTCTGAGGAGCTAAATGTGTGCAAAGCACTGAGTGGGGTTGTGGCGCCCTCTTGTGGACCTTTGTTTGATCACTGTCACTTTAGAAGGTTGCTATCTGTAGGGCTCTGAGGTTTACTTTTTATTTAAAAAAATTAAATATTGTATTTTTTAAACAAAGAGGTTTTAGGTGCACAGAAAAATAAAGGTAAGATGTAGAAATTCACTATATATCCTCTGTGCCTCCATACACCTCCCCCAGAGGGGTTTGTTAATGGGTCCGAGTCTACCGTTTACATTAGAGCAGGCTCACACTTGGCGCTGTGCTTCTGTGGGTCTGGACAGGTGTCTGGTGACACATATCCACTGCAGGGAATCCTACAGAATAATTTCACTACCCTAAACAGCCTGCACCATCCACCCCTCCTCCCAAACCCTGCCAATCAAGGCTCTTTTTATTGTCTCCATAGTTTTGTCTTTTCTAGAATGTCATGCATTTGGAATCAGACAGAACACCATCCTTTCAGACTGATTTCCACCTAGAAACCTGTACCTAAGTCTTTCCTGTTTTCCTGTGGTTTGGAATCACATTCAGTTGTCCTGGAGGTTAGCTTTGATGACAAACACATCACATGAGAGCTGGCATTTTGATAGCTTCTTGGAGGCTACAAGGATGGTCGGATCCAAGAGCAGTCCGACACACTCAACCTGCAGGACCAGAATGGTAGAGTGGCTGGTGTCCAGCAAGTGCGTGATAAACCTCTAAAGGAAGCAACCAGAGGATAAATTCAATAAAGGAATGAAAGCCGCACTCTTCTGAGAGGCACCAAGACACATCAGGAGAAACGCTACCGGTCTTGGAGGACTGTGTCCAGAGACACCCAGAGGAAGGGGTTGAAATGGAGTTAAAAATAGCAAGACTGATAAAGCCATGGGTATAGGGATGAGAAAACAGAGGTGCAAATTATGTGGAAGTTGACTGGGGAATTTTAGGAGGAGGCAAAAGCTATTTGAGCAGAAAATAGACTCCATCAAAAGCACTCAAGGAGTGGTAACCTCACAGATGTCACCTGTGAGGCCTCCCTGGATTTGTCACAGGAAGAAAGCAGCAGCCCTGAGCAGCATCAGAGAAGACTGTTTCTGGCTTCACGTGGACACCAGGTGTTCCCTCCTCCCTTCCACTCATAGATACAACTCACCACCATCTTATGAAAGCACTTACCTCTCTCATCTTTTCTATTCCCAGGGTGAAAATGTAGGAAATGACAATCCACTCCTGAGTGGAAGGCCAGCGCTCCATCTTCACCAGCACGATATAGTTGAAGAGCATCAGGTAGCCGATGTACGCCAGCTGCGAGCAAACAGAACGTAGTGCTCGGCTGCCGAGGCCTGGGAGCCCTGGCCTCAGCACGGTGGCCACACAGCCAGACAGAACAAGGTCAGCAGGCAGGACAAAATGGGGGACTCAGGACAAAATGAATTTAGTAGCTTTTGACTAACAAAAGGCTATGATATCTGAAACCATTTAATATGAGATCTTTGTACCGTTTCTTATAAACGTCTCCCAGTCCCCAGAAGTTTGTATCTAGGCATCGTCAACATCATCCTGTTTCTCAGATTCCTGTTTTCTTGACTATCTGGTGCTACTTTTGCTGGGCCGTGCACCTTCAGAGCCTGAACGAGGCAGCACAGTGGATTTTTGCCTAATGGATGTCAGGAGAATACACTGGCTGCCAATTGGCCAAACCAATGTGAAACTATCTCAAGATACCACTTTGATTCTCTTTCTTTGATCTTCGGTCTTAATTCAGTGCTTGGTGAGTCCACACCTGGGAAGCTTTTCCCTGTTTTTTGTTGTACCACTTTCCTGCCCTACCCAAGTTGGAATATTTGTTTTGGTTTTTGCTTCTTCGAAGTCAAACAAGAGAAACCAAATCAATTTCTAGAAAGGCTTGGGTTTGCAGGACCTCCTGCAGGATAGAGGAGGGTTTCATCCTCTTGAGGCCCCAGCACCTTGGGGAGGGATTCTGATGTAACTTCCTGAATTGATGGAGGCTGAGAGAAGCTCCCAAGGGCTCCGGTTTGGTCTGTGTCACTTAGGATCAGTGGTGTCAAGGTGAGTGGAGGGAAGGGAAATTGGTGGGGCTCTTCCTGCATGAGAAATCTCACCCTCAGGGCACTGGCAGATGAGCGGAGCCTTCTCTAAAAAATGCCTCCCGTTGAGCCAGGCACTTACAGGCCTCAGGGGCTGTGACTAGGAACTCAGAGTGAGTTTATCCAAAGTTCCTGTGCTCTTCTGAGAGGCGGAGCGAATACAGGACTCAGCTGGGCAAGAGGATGGAGGTCTTGAGGGTTCTGGGGACACTGGGTGACTTGGGGGCTGTGCAGGCAGCTAAGAAGGTGGAGGAGGCTGCAGACTGGGTGGGAGATGATACTTAGCAGCACTGCAGAGAAGCTGCCTGATCTGCAAATGACTCTGCATCCTCCTTCGGGAAGGGAAGAGATACCTTATCACCTGGACAGCAGGGCTGCAGACACACTGTGGCATGTCATTCCCTCACCTCTTTTTCTTTTTTCTTTTCTTTTCTTTTCTTTTCTGTCCTGTTCTTTTCTTTTCTGCAGTCTTGTGCGTGCTAGGCAAACACTCCACCACTGAGCCGCATCCTGGGCCCTTCCTGTATCCCTCTCCCCGCTTGTTTTGTAACACTGAGGGATGAACTCAGGGCCTTCATGCTGAGCTACATCCTAACCCCTTTTCCAACACTGTAATTTTGAAGCCAGGCATGGCGCTGCAGGCCTGCAACTCCAGTACTCTGGGAGGCTAAGGGAGGAGGATCTCGAGTTCGAAAGGACGTTGGTGTTATACAGTGTCATGTACGTGAGCTCCGAGATCAGCACAGATAGTTGTGCAGATGCCAGGGGGTTGCTGAACACACCTGAGTGCTGTGCTGTGATGCCCCCATCCCCGCCTTGGAATGGGCTTGTTAATCTATGCGTTGGCTGCCACTCTTGGTCACCTTCAGGGTCATTAGCAATTCATGAGAGTCTCGTGGGTTTCCTTACCATTGTGTAGGACAGTGTTTAAAAATCAGTTCAAAATATAACTTGCTCATGCTTTTAGTTCACCCTTATAATACACTACTTTCATGCTGGTGGCCCTGTGAGCTCTGTATTTCACAGACTCCAAAGAAAGGAATTCAGGTGTTAAAGCTATAATATACACTCATCGTCCTCCTGTTTCCAAAGCCTTCTCTCTTCCTAGTTGCTTTCTTCTCTTAGTTGGATAAATGCTGTAGCTTCTGGGTGACATGTGGCTGCCCTGGTTTTACCTTTTACGGAATTCATTGCAAAATATTCCATGGCATTACCTTCTCTTGGCACATGTAGGCCCAGTGACACCACACATGCAGTTCTTCCAGGACGTTTGCAGCTAGGTATTTAGGGGACCCCTCTAGCCTGATCTGTGCCCTGAATGCAGGATCGCGGAAGTCAGTGAGACTTGGATTTAAACTCCAGCTCGGGGCTGGGGATGCTGCTCAGTGGTAGAGCACTTGCTTAGTGTTGGAGGCCCTGGGTTTGAGCCTCAACACTGCTAAGAAATAAATGGAAATCCTAGGCCATGTACCTCATCTTGTCACCCTGGGCCTCTGGGAAAGAACTTGTCAGTACTGGGGAAACCCAGTGAGAATCATGTCCTTCAGGCTGTGACCACTTCACACCTTGAATCTCTAGCTAACAGTGGGCCCTGGCAGGGACATCACCAGGAGCCAGCTGGACCCCACCTGCCTTTGTCTGGGAGCAGGGAGGAGGCAGCCGGGAAACTCACTAAAATGAGGAAGTGAGGTGGCCTACCCTTCAGAACTCCCAGGGAGGAGGAGGAGGAGGGGACACATCTGAAGTTGGGTGAGAAATGCTCGTTGCAGAGAGCACAACTGAAATGAATGGAACCTGCAATCAAAAGCCGAAATTTACTGTGACACGTTTCTCCCCAGAGACCCTGGCATACCTCCTGGTCACTCAGGCTCCCTAGAAGCTTCAGTTGTGGCCACATGGATTTCTGAGCATTGTGGTATAAACACAATCGAACCTGGGCAAGGGGCCGCTTCTCAGTGTGCCGAATACACCATAGGCCAAGATATGTGTCCCACTTCCCCTCCTCCTGATGGGCACCTGGGCAGTCCTGGTGCCATACAGGCCACACCTCAGGCTCCTTCCTGGAGATTTGATTCAGTGGGTCTCCAATGAGGCTGGGAGCTGGTATTCCTAACCAAACCCTTCTCTGGCTGTGTCCATGGTTCTCAACGTTGAGTGCTTTTGAAAATCAGCCAAGGGCTCTGAAATATCCCAGTGCCCAGGATGGACTACCAGACCATGCCATCAGAGCTCCAGGAGGAAAGCCCAGAGGGCAGCGTATTCTCCAGAGGACACACTGGACACACACCTACATATAATTCCAGCTCTCTGGGAGGCTGCGGCAGGAAGAGGGCAAGTTTGAGCCCAGGAAGGGCAATTTAGCGACTTAGTGAGACTCTGTCTCAAAAATAAAAACCAAAAAAAGGGACTGAGGAGGTAGCTCAGTGTGAAGGCCCTGGGTTTAACCCCCAGTACCTTAAAAAAAGGGGAGGGTTTCAACTGGTGGTAATTTTACCCCACAAGGGGACATGCAGCCATTTCTGGAGACATTTGGTTGAGGATTCAGCGTGGTGTTGGCATGGGGCAGGGAGATTTCAGGGATGCTGGCACATGCTCCATGTGATGGACAGTCCCCTGTGGCAGAGAATCACCCAAGCCAAAATCCCGAGTGCTGAGGCTGAGGAATACACACAGGGCCACACTGAAAGCATCTCACTTGGTCACTCAGAGTTCTTGGCTGCTGAGCCAGGCTGTCCTGCTGCCAGCATACATGAGGATCCTGAAGCTGGTTGTAGAAAAGGCTAAAAAGCTGTCTTTTGTCTGGTACAGTTCTATGTGACTGGAGAGAATGGGAGAGGACCTGAATCTGGCTCATCCTAACTTAGAATATTGTTAAGAAGTAGAAGTGGAAAACCAGTAATCCAGTCTTCCTAGCATCTTGGGAGGCCTTTTGTGGAGGTCCCACCTCTCTTTGGCAGTAAATGCTTGCAGGGTGTGAGTGCTGGAAAGTGCTGCCTTGGTGGCAGGCAGGTTTTGATAGGTTTTTGCTGCTCTTTTTGCATATTATCTAATTGTATCAGAGCAAGACAGCTCATCTGATGGTGCCTCCAGCCTGGGAGTAGTTCCGGGGACAGGCTGACCTTTTCTAGGGTGTAACTTCTGCACTGTCCTTACCCTTTACCTACCAAATGCCCCTCCAAGCTCAGGACGGGGGTCTAACATGGGCAACTCTGATCTAGTCTGTATCTGTCCAGAACAGGATAGTATTTTAAAACAAAGCACAACTGTCGTCCCACCATTTCTCTCCGTTAGTGCTTTTACCATTTCCTTCCTGCACAGAGGAGAAATGGAGCCCGTGGAAGCTGCCTCATGAGGCTCACCAACCCTACAAAGCTGTCGGCAGAACAAGGTCAGAGGCTTCTTCCCGCTGCTTGGATGGTGCTTCTATTACAGCCCACAGAGAAAACCATGCAGGGCAAGAAATGAACCTGATTCCCGCGCCTGCATTTGCAAGGAGACAAGCAAGGAGGCTTACCGTGTAGAACCAGAACTTGACGATGGGTGCATTGTAGAATTCATAGATCTTTCTACCCAGGGGGATGAGGCGGTGCCTGCTCTGAACTTCCTCTTCATCCTTCTTCCTGGAAGACTCCCCATTGCTCCGTCCCAGCATTGCCTACGGCGGGAGAGAAGCGACATCATCACAGAAGGGCTCTGCCCTGCACAGCTCAGTAATCCGTTCAATGCAGGAGGAATGGACCTCACTGAGCCTGAGCTCACAGAACCTGCCAAGAGCCTGAGCCCCAGCTCAGGCTCACAGCTTTCCTGAGGGTGAGATTCCTTGGACACATCACCCACGTCTTCCTCTGCCTGGGTGGAAGACCTTGGGGATCCTGCTCCATCATGTTCTTCTCTTCCACCTTGGACCCTTTTGGGCAGGTGGGTGATAGCAGATGCACAAAATTCTGAGAGGAAGAGTAGATAGAGCCTGGGAAGGGTGCGATATAGGGACTGCCTGCCTGCTTCCCTGCCTGTACTGTAAGACAGGCTAGATGAGGGTTCAGATGCTGTCTCCAGCCATGCTATAGGCTGGGAGATTGGGGCAGAGGTCCTCAGGTTTCAAAGGTCATGAATATTCAAGAGGCAAGTTACTGGCAGTAGATAGAGCTTGGGTTTTCATTTCAAACCTTGCAAAAGTGGAATTGCTACTGGGACTGGCGTACTGCCTTCCTGTATAGCTGGTGGGCCTGCTGGGGGAGGCCCCATCTCTAAGCTGCTGGAGATATCCTTGAGAATGCGATGGCCCCTCATCCACATAGCAGTAGCAGCAGCATCAACAACAAAGACTGAACAGTACAAGGAAGGCGGAACCTGACAAAAGGCACATACATGCTGTCCTGTCCGGGAAGCGAGCAGCAGGAGACCCCCCCAAATGGCTGAAGAGTTTTAGGCTTTGGGGCAGTCAGGTGGGAGACTGAATCCTACCTTGGATGCTTAGAATTTTGTGCTACCTTGGGTAGTTGTTTTAATTACTCAGAGACTTACTTTCTTTAACTGGAAACTGAGAGAACCAGGGCCCCTGCTATTGGGTTGATCTACAAATCCATTAGCGTGTGGCCTTGCAACCTGCTCAGTAACTATTAGCTGTCTTTTAATACCCTGGGACCTTCCTGGACAATGCATTCTGATGAAATAGTCCAGTTGGAGCCTCTAGGAGGTAGCTCAGTATGAAGGCACTGGCTTCAATCCCAGCTAGTACTGTGGTGCCCCCAAATGACCTTGACTTTGTCTGAAGGGAGATGTAGTTTTTGTCTTTAGACCCTGGAAGGCAAGGCATGTCACATGCAATAGTTCTTTGTTTAGAAAGAAATCCAGCCCCAGAAGATCTGAGACTGGACTGGCTTTGCCATAAAAACCAACTGCATGATTCAGAGTGGGAGCCCTAGGTCACCTGGCAGCTGGGATATTACCCAGGCCATTAGCCAGTCACCCACCCACACTTATGCCATGGAGCCCCAGTAAATCTTCGGGCGTGAAGCTCAGGCAGACTTTTCTGGTTGGCAATACTTTATGAAAGCTTCACACACCGGAGAGTAATGAATCTTGAGTGCAGAGTAAGAAGATTCCAGAGATGACGCATTTGGAAATATTCTGGATTTAAACCTGTGTGTGTCTTCCCATGAGTGACTTCACTCTGTATCGTTTTCCTGTAAACAAACTGTAACTGTGCAAGAAAGAGACCATAACAGTACAACTTTTGGCTTCAGTTCCTTAATAGTGTCCTAAGACAAGGTTAGTTCTATGACACTGGAAAATGAGAATTTTATTAAATGTGGATAAGAAACTGCTCAAGACTGAAGTACACCTAGGCAAAAATCCTGTCCTACAGAGCACGTGAGTTTAAAGTGGAGAGATCTAATGACAGTGACAATTTAGATTGGCTTGTCTTGAAATTGAAAAGAGAGATAGCTGCTGATTTCAGTGTATCCCAGTCCTGGTCTTAGTTTTGCTACTTTGATGGTTGCTTTAAGTAATGATTTCGCTCAGATATGTGCCATTCACAAATGATTCATCAAATCAACAGGTTTTCTGGAGAAGGTAACTTCTGTTCTTTTGTGGATTCTCTAACTAGAATAGTTCCGTGAATTAATGAATAGATATGATTTGGTTCCAAAGTTTATCTAAGTGTTTCTTTTCATCAGCAGACTGAGTTATTCTTCACAGTGGATACAGCACACTAGAACTCAGTGTGAGACTTCGGATCACTGATCTCAAGAAACTCTGAAGGTACATGGTAGAATATTTGTCTCGTCACATAATTTATGTGATGTAAATATCTTACTCTAATTCTTTGTCTTTTTGTTTTTTGGTTTTAGATTTTTGAGACAGGTTCTCACCGTGCAGTCCAGGCTGCTCTTGTCTTGAACTCACTCTGCAGCACAGGCTGGCCTCGAACTTATAATCCTTCTGCCTCAACATCCTGAGTGCTGGGATTGTAGGGATCACACTGCTTCCATTCTGCTTATTTCTGTGCTTGACAAAGCAGTGCCATTCGGAAACACAATGAGATGGATGTAAGGGCAGATTCTGAGGCATCCTGCAGAGTGGCATCTTGGGGTAACCTTTAGGGACAATGAATTTCCTAGGCCTACAGCTGGGGCTCAGGACATGTTGGGACTTTATTAAACAATGTGCAAGGTGAAAAAGCACTCACCTGGCCATGCAGGCAAAGCACAAACAAGACCATGGCAACACATTTTACATTATTATTCAAATTATTCCAAAACCTATGTGTTGTCTTTGGGTGATTTAAATAAAGCATTTTTGTCACTTTGTTAATTCCAGCCTAAGCAGCTTCCCTTGCTGATTTTATTGATTTCTTTTCTCTGTAGTCATACATTTCCTTTGACATGCCTTAAAATAGAATTTAACAGGGTCAAGTACAAACAAGATTGCGCAGTACGGACTTGAGAATCGTTGTTGGGTGGACACAGGTGTCAAAGCGGAGAAATAGCCTTTGAAATAAGTTATTTCAGATTCTAGAAATGGGGCAAACTGAGATAGGGATGCATGTGTGGTTTGGAAGGGCCAGAGGATGTCTCTTTGCAAGAGAAGATATGTTGGTTTAGCACAGAAGCTCAACGGTCAGCCCTGTGAAAGTGGCTCTCTCCAGCCTTATCCATGATGAGGCTGCTGACCAGAGCCCAAGCAGCCACAGAGTTTTTCCATCAGGTCAAAGAAAGCTCCTTTATAGACCACTGTGGTCCCAGTCTGAGCCTGCAGGTCTCCAAACTGCCCTCCCTCACCCCACTCTGTCTGCTTGAGGAGACTAAGCCTAGCACTCTGGGTGTCTCCTACTCAGGTTCTCGGTGAGCAGTGCTGGCCTCTGTTCTCTAGCAAGTAGACTTTGCTCTCAGTCCACAGACTTGTGGACTCTCGAAAGATCGCATCCTCAAAGCTTTGCACAGAGCAGGGGCGGCCCCTCCCTTTGCTTCCTTCTTTGAGATTCAGAGAACATGCTGATTCAGCTCCTGCTTGTCTGCCTAGGATGGGTGGCTTCATCGAGGTCATGCTACATGAGACTTAGAGGGCCTGGGCATTGCTTTTGAATTTTCCTTGCTATTTGGTGAACCAAACCAGCTGATCACTCTTGAGACTAGGAAGACATTCTCTCTTAACTTTTGACTAAAGGAACAGCCAGTTGGGTCTGCATGTCTAGGTTTGAATCCCAGCTTCACAATTCATTAGCTGTGTAAAGGTGATCCATTTAACATCTCTGAGTCCCCACCCTCCTCGCCTGTAACCTGTTAGTTAATATTATTAACCTGTTAGTTAATAATTTACCTCTCTCATGGGTTGATAGGAGGAACCCCCGGCTAAGCATATGAAGTTTTAGCCCTGTTACAATGTTAGTGAGAATTTACTGCTGTTTATAGGATGTCAGGCACCATTCTAAAGAGTTCACATGTTTTCCTCTTAATTCATACGGCCGCCTGCCAGACTGGTGGACTTGTTCCCACACTCAAGGCTCTGACATCACACAGAGACACACAGGAAGCCACACAGTTGATGTGGCAGGGCACTGATTCCAGACCACATAACTCTTTCCCCTCTGCTAAAATATTTACTACAGATTCAGTGTTCATTCTTCTGTTTCTCCCTGGGTTGAAAAATACCATTTTCTATCTGTACAGGGGTGTAGAGTCCAAGATTTTGGAAGGAGTATTTTTGTCTGTGGTACTGGTCACATGAAGCTACATCTCCAGTCCCTTTCTTATATTTTATTTTGAGACAGAGTTTCACTAAATTGTTGAACTCCTTGTGTTGGGCTCAGGTTCATGGTCCTTGTGTCTGTCTTCAGAGCGCTGGGATTATAGGTGTGTGCCACCACCTAGCTCTGAAAGATGTTTAGGGAAGTCGGCCCCTGCCCCTGCCGATTTCCTGAGGATCCTAAAACTGAAACAAAAGTTGGCTTTTCATTCAGGGAGTCAGGAAATGCGTCTGTAAATAGCAGAGCGGCCTCATGGAAGACAATTGCTAACCTGGAAGAAGAAGTTTGCACAGTAGTTCCACTAGGCTCATAATGCAAAAAGCCTTTGTCACCTGAGCAAAACCAATTTTCGTGGTCTCCTCTTACAGTTCCTTCTGGGTCATGACAGCGGATCATTGGCGAGGGTGGTGGGGGAGGCTGAGGCCCGCTGGAAGTCCTTATGGAGCCGTTGCGTGATGTCTGCTAAGCTGTGAAGCCTTGTTTGTCCCTTGAATAACACGGGGTATTTTTAACCTTTGGATACGAGCCAGTGGCAGTCATGCTGCTCAGACAGGGGTGGCGGGAAGCTGTCCCATGAGCAGCTGCCCCATTCCCTCTGCAGAACAAAGCACCCAGGTCCTATAATTATACCAGGAAGAGCTAATAAAAGCCTTCCATACAAACCCCAGAATTCAGTTAGTGCTGTTATTTGTGAGCCTGACCCCAAAGACAGACACAGGCTTAGCTTCTGATCGGCAGAATGTTCCAGCTCAGTAAAGCCTGCTGCTCCTGACTCTGGACTCCCTCAGTGTTTTGTGTGCAAAAACCGCCACACTGCCTGGCTGTTTCTAAAGCTTTGCTTGCCTGGAAATTTTGGGGTTCTATGCTTCTTTGAGATTTATTTTTTTCTTTTTTCCCTGTACCCCTAGCTGGCCAAAGGGCTTTACAGAAAAACTGTCATGTTCTTTGTACATAAAGAGGACACACTTGTGCACCTGGTTGCAGTTCTCAGTGTCCAGGATTAAATGTGAAGGCAGCCTGGGGACTGGCTGTTGTCCTGGCTCGCTGAACCCTTAGCCACATGAAGGGGACGAGGGGGCGAGGGAGTCTTTGCAGTGAGAGCAACGCATAGCTCGGCCTTACTGTCAGTTCCATGTCCTCTTCCTCCTTCTCCTTGGTGGGCTTCTCTGGTTCTTCTGGCTCCTTCTCTTGCAGGTGGATTTCTTGGGCCTGAGTCATATAGGGCATGTCGTCTTTGTTCTTGAACTCCAAGCTGAGAATTGAAGGAGGAAGTAGAATTCCCAGAATTACCTAAAGTAATAATAATGATAATAATAATAATCACATTTAAAGGATTAAAATGAGGTGGTTTTTCAGACTCAGAGGGCCTGGGGTGTGGCGTGTGTGTGTGTGTGTGTGACATGCACATTCGCATGTGAAGGATTCCATGCCTTGTATGGAGACCTGGACTTCTGAATATCTAAATGTATTAGTGTGAAGAGGCCACGGTCCCCTCTGGGGAATGTTTTTGAATAGTAGCTCAGTCTATATTTTGAAGAAATAAGGCATTTTGCTCAAATATATCTTGCCCTGTTAACATCCAGGGTAAACCCCTAGTGGGAAAACTGAGGAAAAAAGAGGGATTCCATTCAATGCAAAAGTGAGAAAGAATTAAGATTATCATTTAGTCAGTACCATTTAGAACTCAGCTTCCTAAAGTTAATTCCATACGTCTGTTCTTTAGCATTTATTGGCTAATGTGTCAAGTGGAGTTGATTCTATATTATCTGATTATCTCTGTCAAAAATGGTTATTTTAAGATGACCCTGAGAGAGGACATGTAGGAAAGGATTTTTTTTATTGTAGAAGATTCTAGTGCCGTTTGCTTTTTCCATCTGGATTCCCCAAGCTTTAGTGTCCCCCTACACAAATGCTCTACAAGGACCAGCACTGTACTCTGTCCTGTATAAACAACGCCACATATCTGTGTGTGGGGATGTCTGTCACGGAGGCCTCCCCCATGCAGGGACTCTCACTCCCCATTGTGAGGGAACGAGTGTAGTCTTGAGAGATGTTGATGCCTACTTTTGTTCTCCACATTTCTTCCCATTTCTCCCAATCCTGACGTTACCCTGGGGTGCCAGGTGTCTAAAAATAAACCTCTTGAAGAAACTGCTCCAAGTGAGGGGTAGAGAGAGGTCCCGAGCATCAGGGAAAATGATGCTCAGCTTGTGAGGGTGGCAAATCCCAGGCATGAGAGCCATCGGAGCCAACGGAGCACCGTGACCCTGGCTTCCGGGTTCCTGGCAGGGCTGGGAGGCTCAGGGTGCATGCTGGCTGCTGTCAGGGGATGTGACGCCTGTTCTCCAGCTGAGAGCTGGCCTGGCTTCTTGCCTGAGGCCAGGGCTCTCGGTCACTAGCAGTGTGGCTGTGAAATGTGTCTGTGGCCCATTTCGTGAAAGCCACCTGTGACTCCAGCCAAGGACAGGTGGAGTGGGAGGTGGAGCACTGGTCCCATAAAATGTGGATGAGGGGAACAAAGTGGCAGACCTGGAGGGAGGATGAACAAGTCCATGGGCAACACAGGAGCACAGTCCTGGTATCCTAGAAATTTGCTAAGAGGGACTTAGGTGCCTACACCACCTTAGGTAAGGTGACTGTTCAAGATGATGGGTATTTTAATTCACTTGATCCTAGTAACCATTTCAATATTTATATCACAAATACCATGTTGTATATCTTAAAGGTATATTAAGAAACTAGCATCACAAAAATTAAAACAAAAACAAACTAAAATAAAGCCCCACATCCTTTTGATCTTTGATCTTCTCTTTTTTCTTTTACTTCTTTCAAAGTAAGACTTTCTTTTGAAAATCGTTGAAAAAAATCATTGACAAATCTTCAACAGGGAAAAGGCAGGGATGGGGTGCAAAGTGTCACTGAGTGTCTGTCTAACACATGAGCCCGTGGGTTAAGTGCCCAGCACCGCAAAGGAACAAAAGCAAAAACATCATTGATGTTTGTTGTCTGTTCAGCCCCAGGGTGAGCAGTGGAAGTGATTTGCTGTCTTCTTCCTGTTTGTTGTTGTGGCTGTAGTTGCTGTTTGGTTTTGTCCTAGGGATTGAACTAAAGTGCCAGGCTGGGTTTAAATTTGCAGTCCTATTCCTGCATCTCCCAGGACTGAGGTATGTGGGATTACAGGTATGTGCCACTGGGTCTGGCTTTGGTACTATATTTTAAAAAGTTAAAAAAAAGTTCATCTATATAAATAGAACTCTACACATATAAGCTTTAAAAAGGACTCAGGTTATGCAGATTGGTCTCTGACTTATTTTTCTTTATTTAAGAGTAGATCAAGTTGGATACAGTGGTGTATGCCTATAATCCTAGCACTCCAGGAGGCTGAGGCAGGAAGATTGCAAGTTTGAGCCTAATCTGGGCAATTTAGTAATTTAGGGAGCCCTGTTTTCAAAAATTAAAAAGGGCTGAGGTATGATCCCCATTCACACAGACAGGAAAGACAAAGAAAAGAGAAGAGAGTAGATCAGTCTCTGGCACTCACCAAACCCTGAGTTTATTTCCTCAGTCCCTCCTAGGATTAGGATTATAGAGCAATGCCTTGACAGATACAGATCTCACTTTGTTGTTATTATTGGTTTACTTTTTGCTTTTTGAGACAGGGTCTTCTTATGCAGTTCAGCCTTGAACTCACTGTGTAGTCCATGCTGACCTCAAACTCATAATGATCCTCTTGCCTCAACCTCCTAAACGCTGGGATTATAGGTGTGCACCACCACACCCAGCTCAATCTCATTTTTAGCTCCCTGAAGGTTTTTTTTTTTTTTTTTTTTTGCATGATAAGGGACCTGTGTGTGACTATCATCTTGGGACCATCTGAAAAATACTAATGTCTAGAAGCCAGTCTTAGCGATTCTGAGTCAGTGGGGCTCAGGGAGGTTCTCCCCACTAGGTGGAAATCCAAAGCCTACACCAGAGATTTGGATGAGCTGTCAGGGGTTAGCGCCCCCTGGTGTGAGAGTCTATCTAATCCCACTGCAGGTGCAGGTTTGGCAGGGAAAACGCCAACCAACCCTCTGACCCTCCTGGCCTGCAGGGCCTTCCGGGCGCACTGACCTTGAGGCCTGAGTTCTTGCGCATGCGGAGCCGACCCATCCACATGTCAGTCAGCAGCATCTGGCTGCACGTGTGTGCGATGAAGTCGCGGTGCTTGGCGGCCACGGCCAGCTGTAGGCACGTGGCATTGCTCCAGTTCTTCAGCTCGTACGTCAGCAGTTTCATGGCCAGTTGCTCATCCTGCTTGTAAGATTGGTCCAAGAGCTCCACAGCCAGCTGGCCAAAGTCCCTGAAAAGGAATACACGGAGGAGTCCTTCAGAGCAGTGTGGAGACTAATGCGACAAAAGTGAGGGCCCACTAAGAAGAGGGTTCCGGTGTGGGGCAGCACTCCCTGTGAGGGCTGAGTTGTAAATTCATCCAGCCACATCCATTATGCATCCACTATGTGTGCATTATACATCCACTGGGGATCTGAGTCAAGCCAGGCATGGACTCTACACTCCGGGGCCAAATGCAAGGATGTAAAGGTAGACCCCTCCCATCCATAGCTGGGCATATCTTCTTTAATGGACCCAGCCTTGGCAAGCTGGGGGAGCCAGCTAAGTTCTCTGAGCCTCACTGTCTTCAGTGGAGACAAGTACATGATAATAGGACCTGGCTCTCAGGGGAGTGGCGAAGATGCCTCTCAATCACCCGTGCACCAGTGTGCCCCCATAGGGAGCACCGTGCACACCAGAAAAGGTGCATTCTTCATGCCCGCCCTGTATGTGCACCCCAAGGGCAGTACTGCCCCTCACTCTTTGTGATACTAGGGATCGGACCCTGAGACGCTCTACCACTGAGCTGCGACTCCAGCTCTCTCTACCCTGCAACAAGGTCTTCTTAAATTGCCCAGGCCAGCCTTGAACTCGTGATCCTCCTGCTGCTAACAGCTAGGATTTCCAAACCGCACCACTGTGTCCTGGCCTCCCAGCAGAGTTTTGCCTCAGTGCCATCCCTTCTCCGCCCTTGACCTCCCCATGCGGTTTGCTGGCCAACCTGGAGTTGTGGTTCAGCTCCTGGGAAATGTCGTCCACCATGTCGTTCTCGGAGGCCTCGTGAGCCATGGCTTTGCAGAGCTTACAGGCCACCAAGGCCTTGGCCATGGCCTCCTCACCGTGCTGCCAGAAAAACAGCGCCATCTTCTGCCTCTTCATGAGGACGGCCCACACCATCAGCTCGTGGAAGGGGAAGGGAAAGTGGTTGATCTCAGGGTCGTCCAGGTCTATGTCCACCTCTTCTTCACGCTTCTTGGTCGTCTTTCTCCCTCTCCTCAAGGGAATATCGTCCTGTGGATTTAGAGAAAGGCATACAGGTTGTGTTGGAAATGAAGCAGGTTGATTTGTTGCATAGCTATTCTATGCCTTGCATTGGCTCAACTTTGGGATCAATGCGGAAATGAACCAGGCCAGCTTCTGTCCTAAAAGAGCTCACAAGCTTGCCCCTGGCTCATTCTGAAATAAGTTATAGTAAATGCAGAAGTATAGTCCTATGGGGACATGTTAGGTTACTTCCACTTAAAGTATCTTTTAATGGGCCATTTTCTTTTGTGTTTTACTTTTGTTCATTCTCTTAGAGTTAGGGTAGTTTGTACCTCATGAGGGACACCAATGTCCTTTCTGCAGAAAGGACCAGAATATCCTGTAGTTACGCTTCTGTACATGACAATAAGTATTTGAACAAAAGATAGGGCCCGTAATCTGTCTGGGGTTTCTGCTTTTGTGAAGCAGCTCTGGCCTTTGGCTCTGTTGCCATTTGTAAACAACCATGAATAAAGTTTGCTTACTGGAATTTATATACTTCCTGGGTTTTCAAGTTAGGTTTTCAAATTGGATTTATTTATTTTGTTTGCAATGCTAATATAAAACCTCATGGTGGAATTTGCAAAGCTATTGTGAGTTATTCTCATGGCACTTGGAAAATATTTATCTTAGAGTCCTGAACTAAGTTTCACCCCCCAAAATGAGCTCATATATCCTTTAAATGTGTAATAAAGAGAATAATTGACACTAATAACTTGAGCAAACAATTACCTCCATTCCCAGAAGTTTCAAGGCTTTGGGCTTAAAAAAAAAATGAATAAAGTTAGATCTTTCGTTCACGAGGGTCAGAAAAGAATCCTACTATATCTTGAGCAAGCAGTGTAAGAACCATTGTACCAGACAGCATTTATTTCACTGAATAAAACATGACAAGGGGAATTTATTTTGAGAAATTCTAGAAGGACTAAAATTTTGTGATTTTGGTGACTTATATCACAGAAAATCAGGAAACTGGAGAGAGATAGTGAGATTTCCTAAGACACTAAGGATTTCTCTCTTTTTTTGAAGTTTTATTTAAATTTCTCTTTTTTATTAGTACATATTTGCTATACATGATGGTCACATTCATCATAAGGAATTTGTACCTGTACATAATATGTCTTAATTCTTTTTCAGTTCCACTCCCCACTCCTCAAGGTTCTTCAGACGTTAAGGTTTATACGTCTTGTGGGTTAAGATTTCCCTCATCTCCATGTAACTATCCTGCCTGATGCTTTCATGACATCCAGGATTTGAATGAGTGCTAGCATCTGAAAGTTTGTCCTTCCCCAGATTTGTATGATGAAATCCCGACCTCTGCTAGGAATGTCTATAATCCCAGCACTCCGGAGGCTGAGGCAGGAGGATAGAGTTTTAGGCCAGCTGGGTTACACAGTTATTTCAAGGCCAGCCCAGATTGCATAGTGAGGTCTTGTCTCAAAAAACAAAACAAAACAAAACTCTGCTCCCTAAGGTCATGCATGGTATTGGATTGGGATGGATCAAGTGGGAAGAGCTCTCCTGAATGAGATTAGTAACCTCTTAAAAGAGGCCATGCCAGTATTCTAGGCACTCAGGAAGCTGAGACAGGAGGATCCTGAGTCCAAGGCCAGCCTGCACAACTTAGTGACACCCTGTCTCACCCTTCTCCCAATTTCCCCAAAACAAAACCTGCCAAAACAAACTACCACTCCCTAAAAACAAAACAAAAAGGCCACAGGAGATTGTTTTCCCTTTCTACTTTGTGAGAGGTAGTGGTGGTGGGGTGGGGTGGGTGTCTATGAACCAGGAAATGGGCTTTTACCAAATATTCAATCTGTTGGTTCCTTGATCCTGAACTTCCCAGCTTCCAGAATTGTGAAAAATAGATTTTTATTGTTTGTAAATCATGCAGTGTTTTTTTGTTTGTTTGGTTTGTTTTTGGCCTGTTTGTTTTTTTTTTTTTAATTTTTTTGAGATGGGGTCTCGCTATGTAGTTCAGGTTATTCAACTCATGATGTATCCCAGACTCGCCTCAAACTCAAGGTGATCCTCCTGCCTCAGCTTTCTGAATGCTGGGATTGCAGGTGCACCCAGCTCCATGTGGTATTTTGTTGTAGCAGTAGAAGGAGAATAAGACAGACAAGCAATGGAACGTCCAACGAAATGCAGTATTTCTTAAGCCCCGGAACACGCTGCCGTCTGGAGACGGGCACTGTCCCTCAGCTGTGTACTGTACTCCTTGCCGACCACTGCGCTGTGCTGCTGCCCACCAGAGGAAGGCTAAATGGCCTGGAGACAGTGCTGGTGGTGGCACAGGAGGCTGGGACTGTGGGGAACCAGCAGGGGCTGGGGACGGTGGAGAACTGACCTGGATTTATAATGAACAGGATGAGGAGGATGTTCTGTGCTGCTGGGTGTGACAGGAGGGCGGGAGCCTTTTGGGGTCCCCTGAATGGGTGCTACGGTCCCTCTGGATCCTGTGTGAGCATTCGGCCAGTGGGAGCTCCAGCTTTATCTCTCTCCCTCTCTTTCAGCTTCTAAAATGACCACCAGCCTAAGATCTGTGGGTCCCCCACCATTTAGACTTTTTTGGTGCTTTCAAAGTTCTCTACCAGCCTACAAAATATTTTCATGATCAGAGGGAAGTTTTGTTACGTATAAAAATCAACCGCTCGTTCTGGGAGAACATGGCGGACAGATAACAGCAGCTAAGGAGGCTCTCTGAAAGACTCGGCTCAGAATTCAGGAATGGTGCGGAGTAAGGAGTCATAAGCAGGTGGAGATATGCTCTGCTGACCCAGGAACGAACTGGGCTGAGAGAAACCAACTTGGAATGCAGTCCTGGTGCTAGAACAGGAACAGAAAAGCCTCAATGTGGAGGCTGGAGCCCGTGGCATTGGAAGCTGCGATTTGGGTTTCCCGCCACGCGGCGGCTGCATCTACATCGGCTTGGCAGGGAGAGAGATGCGCGGAAGCTCTGGGAATGGGAATCAGTGAACGGAGTTGAAAGCAGGACGGGCGGGGAGCTGTGCACTGACTTGTGGTGAGGTGAGTGAGAGAAAGTGACACTCTACCACAGTTTGACTCCAGTAGAGGACATTCTGGGACTGGGCAGACTTGCGGGAGCGGGGCGCTGCAGCGACTTCAGCCACGTATTCCCCTCTCAAGCGGGATTGGTGAGAAGTGCCTAGCCTATGTGACGCTGCTGGCTGGCAGAGACCCAGTAGGCTAACACAACCCAGATCCCAGAGCCTGAGGATGGCCTGGAGGGGCGGGCCCCGCGTAGGCTGCCTGGTCTGGAATTTCCTGGTGTGCTGCTGTGGGCGGGAACACCTAGCTGGCGCAATTCGATCAGGCTGTGGCTGACAGGGAGGGAAGCTGGGCCTCATATATAAGCTTGCATATATAAGGAACAAAGAATATGGGAAGAGGGAGCAACAAGAAAGGCTCCTCGGCCCCCAATCCTGAGAAACAGGCAATAGCGGACACCGCACCAACAGACATAAAGCGCCATCTAGAGAGCCTCATAGATCAGTTCAGGAATGAAGTTATTAACAACCTGAAGCTAGAAGTAAGCAGAATAGTTAGAGAAATGCTAAGCACCACCCAAGAAAAAACGGATGGTGGAATTGAAGAACAGAAAAAAAGGGGAGAATTGTTTGATGGAAAAAATAGAGAAAGCATAGAATACGTGAAGCAGGTTCAAAGGGACTACCAGGAAACTAAAAACTCTATCGAAAACTGGCATAACAGCTTGAAAGAAACTAAGGACAGACTATCTGAACTGGAGGGCAGATTTGTAATATGGGAGAATGAAATGAAAAACTTCTTAAAAATAACAAAGAAACAAACAGCAATAATACAAAGACAAGAAGATGATAAGAGGATCCATAACTTAAGAATTAAGAACATAAAAGAAGAAGTAGGGACACAAACAAATGAACTACAAAAGCTACTCACAGAAATAATCCAGGAGAATTTTCCTAATTTAGCAAAAGGTAAAGATACTCAGATGTATGAGGCATACAGGACCCCAGCCACCTACAACCCAAACAGAGCAACACCCAGGCATATAATAATAAAAATTCCAGAAATTCAATACAAGAACAGAATATTAAAAGTGGTCAGAGACAAGAAACAGACCACTTACAAGGGAACACCCATCAGAATTACAGCAGATTTCTCTGCACAAACCATTAAATCACGAAGAGCGTGGGGGGAAATAATTCAAGCTTTGAAAGATAATAATCTCCAGCCAAGAATGAGATATCCTGCACAACTGTCCCTGAAAATTGATGGAAAAACAAGGTGCTTCCAGGATAAAGAGGAACTGGGGGAATTTGCAACCACCAATTGAACTCTACAGAGAGTATTGCAGGATATTCTAAAAAAGAAAAATACAAAGAATCCAGAAATAGTGGCGGGGAGGCCACAATGAATGGAGCAGAGAACAAAATGAAGAAGACAAACTGACAACTAATGACAGAAAAAGAGCTCAACAGAAATGAGGCAGAGAAGATTGGATGATAGGAACAGCTATTTTGGAGAAAATGATGTCTTAATAGGTAATATTGATTTAGTATCATCTTGTTTTGAAGTCTCATCAAGCTTTTGTTCTTCTGTCTCCATTGATCTAAACAGGTTGCATCTTATTGGATTTTATTATGTACGATAGTATAAGCAAAAACTTTTAAAGACAAGGAGATTATACAGAAACCATTGTTCATTTTCTGTTAGTTGATTCTAAATACCTTGTAATGCTGTCATTCTCTTAAATGGTTTTACATTGTTTTGATATATTTAATGCTACAGTATACGAAGTTGTACTCAAGGATTTCAAGGAAAGAGACAATATGGTAACTACTTTTATGTCAGGATTATCTTGTGGTGAAACACTATTCTGCTTAAATGGTTATGTTTTGATCTGCGCTGTTTTGCTGTTATGCCCTCTTTTATCTCAATCTCCACTCCATTATTTACTTTTTTATTTTTATCCTTTTAATTAAGGGAAAAATAAAAATAGCAGGATATATTATAGTAACCCACTTTGACTTTCCATTATCTTGATTTAAAGCCCTGTATTACTCTCACCATCTTGTTTTTGACTGATGTCCCCCTATTCTGCTTTGCTTGATAGTACCAGGTTCGAAAGTTTAGGCAACAGCTGTGAAGATAGTGAGATTCATTATGACACCCATTCTCGATGACTTTTATCTACTTTTGAAGACCTTGGGGACAATGTCTCCAATGTTTTGGTTTTGTCGGTTTTGTTCTTTACTGTTTTGTTCAATTTTATTATAACTGATGATATAAAGAGATAGCGGGAGGCATTATGGTAACCATTATTGATCACCTTGTATTATGCTTTTACATTATCTATTACGTCCACCCTTTTGATTTGATTGACTCTGTTCTGTTAGGTCACATTTGGTTCTACTCCCTTCCAAAAAAGTAATAAGAACTGTGGGAGCAACAAAACCCAAAATGTGTAATTGTCATTGTACAAAAGAGAGGAAAAGAAAGTGCTCTAAACGATATAACTGCATGTATATTTAAGTGTATAAGATAGAAAATGATATCACGAGTTTTATTGGATCATTGAACAGAACTGTTTGCAGTCTCACTGTTGGAATGTCCACTTTACAAGCTTTAATTTTGTGACTTGAACAATTATTTCTAAGATGACAATATGTAATCCATTAACTAGTGATTTCCTACTGTTTATTTTTTTCTGTAAATCTGTATAACTTGTACCCTTTCTCTGCTTTTTTTTCTCCTTAAATAAAATTTTTAAAAAATCAACCAAATCCATTTAAAAACCCATAAAAATAAGGTAGAAACATTAAAGACAATAATAAAAATGTAATAAGAAAGAAAGAAAAATCATGCCCACTTCCAAGTAGAAAAACAATTCTTTTTTTAGTACTGGGGATCGAACTCACAACCTCATGCTTGCCAGGCAGGTGTTTGTGCCACGGAACTGTACCCCAGTTCCTAGAGTAAACAATTCTTAAAATGTTGTCCATGGATTTACTGTGAGATTCCCTGACCCCTACCCTTTCTGGGCTGCATGAGATCCAAGCTCTGTTCATAGCGATCCTAAGATGTTACTGGGCCGTCCTCAAACTGGGATCCAACCTAGGGGTGCTCCACCAAGCTACATCCCAGTGTGTTTTCTTATTTGAGACATTGTCTTGCTGTGTGACCCAGGCTGGGCCTGGATTAGTGGTTCTCCTGCCTCAGCCTCACAAAATGATTGAGATTACAGGATTTCAGCCTACAGTTCCACACAGGACATGTTACTGTCTGACACCTTTTACGCTGGCACGGATGGCGCAGAGCCACAAGAAATAAAAACTGTAGGGTCCTTAGTAAAAGTAAAGGCCTCTGCAAGTACACGTGCTATTACTGTAACTCAGGAGGACGGGGACACAGCCCCCAGAGCTCCAGCGCTGCCTGGCTTCCTGTGGCTGTCCTGCCCAGGAAAACCTCGGGACTGCATTCCAGCCACCTTCTTTCATAGAGTTCCAGTTTTAATTTTTTTTTGGTTTTCCTGAAAGAAAGCTTGGCAGACTGAGGACAGTGATTCTTCAGACTTGGACGCTGGGCAGAGGAGGCTGTCTCTGCAAGTCTGACACTGTTATTTGCCACATTTTAAATTTCATTAAGACCAGGCCGGGAGAGGGCAGAGAGGGAAGCGGGTGAACCACCCAGGGTATGTGTACACCGGGCCCCCGTGCAGTTATTCCCTGTTGCAGACACACCAAAAAAAAAAAAAAAAAAAAAAAAGCAAAGAAAAAATGAGCAGACAGAAGAAGCCAGGAGAAGCGGAGGGGTGACCGGAGACTCCCCAGCCCAGCCTCACCCGCTTGGGTCCGAAGAGGTTGTGGTAGAGTGTCCGGAAGCGCTTGCGGGTGTAGTTACAGCGGTAGGCGCCGCCCATCAGGTACTCAATGACCAGGCCGATATCGATCAGGCTGATCCTGTAGTCTGGGGGCAGGTTCCCCTGGCAGAGAGGAAGGAGACAGACAGACAGACCCAAGAGACAGCGTGGTTTGCTAGGGGTTCTATTGCGTATGTTCTGCAACTACTTTAGAGTAAAATATTATATATATATATAATGAAAAAAGAAACATATGAATGTATTATTATGCTGGTTAATTAATTCACCTTAAAATAGATCCAACCGAAACCTGGATATTCTCGCTTGGAAAGAAGACATAAGTTAATAAGAAGATGCAGTAACCGTCGGCAATAACAGAAAATCAAACTAGTTATTGAAGTCTTCAGCTGGGGAGAGAAAAACACCAGGGTAGCAGACAGAAATACATGGCTAGACAGGGCAAAAGGCTACCATTCCAGGGCCCTGCTGACCCTGACCCAGGCCTGTCACTGCCCCTGGACTGGGGAGTCACCGGATGCTACCCCCCTCACTAAGGAAGACTCCTCCTAGAAGTGAGGCCCATTACCAAGACCTGGAGCTACACAGAACTCAGGTCTTCCTTAAACAAAGCCCCTATTAAGACTAACTATAAAGAGAGGGTTGTTTAGGGCAGGGACTCGGAACAGCAGAAGGATGCTGTATGTGAACAACCCTTAAAGGGAAGCCAGGAGGAAGGGGAGGAACATTTTTATTAATGAAATATTTTCCCAGAATTAAGGAGATTTTTCCACCTTCAGTGTAAGCACTTCTTAAAGACCTAGAGTTATGGTGTAGCTTTTGGTTTTTATTTATGTTTTTGTGTGGGGGTTAGACCCAGGCCTCTGCATGCTGTATCATTTCAAAAAAATAGAAAAATATTCATTATTCCTAGTCCCAAGGGGAGTGCCTTAGGACCTCAGGGAAACCCCTATTCTGTCAGGTCAGGGAGGAGGGGGGGTCTGGGGAGGAAATTCGGGGTGCAGTCCATGTCTGGCTGGTTGCTTCCCGCAGGGGGACAGTCTGAGACAGCAGCGGCTAGGCTCTGAGCCTGGTGCAGGGTCCTGAGAGTTTAAAGGGGTGCAGGGCCTTGGTGATCTTCTCCTGACCACAGAACCATGCAGGACACTAGGTGAGGTTCTGTCACTTTATGGAAGAGGCTCCAAATCTGTTCTGGTCACTTTCCAACTTTGGCAGTATGGGAATCACTTGGGGAATGTGGTGACCGTATCAAGTCCTGGACCCTGCCTGACCTGCTTTGGCGTATTATTGGGCCTCTTGCGTTTTCTGAGCTTCTCCAGGTAGTTTGGATAAACAGCAGAGCCTGGGAGACGGCGGTGCTGCTCAGCCTCAGGCGGCAGGGGCAGCCCGGGGCAGCACCACCTGCACCCACAGAGCATCAGGTGGGAGCCGCTGTCACCGGGACACTGCTGAGCTGAAGGCAGGTTTTCAGCGTTTCTTGCTAGGAACTAGGAAGCTTTGGGATTAGGGTTAGGACTGGTCACTGCAGCTTATTGTGTATAGCCTCAGAGGTTGCTTAGACATTTGCTGTTTTGTGCTATTGGGTCTCTCTAGGTAGGTCTCAGGCTGGACTTTAACTCCATATGTTGCCTAGGCTGGTTCCCATTTCAGCGTCCTGCCCCAGCCTTCCAAGTGCCAGGATCACAGGTGCAGCTGAACTGTATTCGTATCTTGGTATTAGTTGTACTTTTTATAAATAGTGTGTTAATGTAGGCACCCACAATGGTTCTACTGTTGTTTAAAGGTAATACAGTGAAATTAAGCAATGTGGTAAGACCAAGTCTGAGAGTGGTCTTTTGAGGATTATGCTCTCAGTAGAATAACTAAGTGGCCACAGTTAGTTGACCTCTTGTTGGGGACCCCTAGTTCTCTGGAGCAATTTGACTTGAAATGCATGGAATTCTGTGGCGTTCCAGGGGTGGGCATGAAGGGATAGCTACAGATGCCCGAGCTCACAAGTAAGCAATCCCACTGCTGTTCCCTATGCTTCCTTGCTCTGCCAGGGTACACATGAGGCTCCAATCCCTGGGCTCTGCAGCCCCCCTTGGCTTGGGACACAGGGCAAGTGGGGACGGTGTGAAGGGCATCCCACAGGAAGTGGCCTGGAGACACAGCCCCTCATCCTGACATGCTCCTTATGTGGAATGTTAGGTTTATGTCTAGATGTCCCCCAAAGCCTCATGCACTCATTGGCAGGACTTTTGGTAGGTGGGTGGATGAGGCAGGCTGTGGCTAAATGATAGGTAGTGGGTTCTGCTTGCAAGAAGCAGATTGGTGGGACATGACCCGGAAGGGTTTTGCTCTCTCTCTGTTCCCCTTCCCTTCAGTCTGCTTCCTCTCTGTTATGCTGTGAGCAGCTCCCACCACACACCCCTCTGCCAGGAAGAGATGCCTTGGAGTCAGGATTGTGGGCTAAAACATGAGCCAAAAGAAACCTTTTTCCTTAAGTTGCGGTGTTGGCTATTGTGTTCCAGGGCTGAGGGAAGTAAGACCCAGCTCCATCCGAGATCTGAACTGTCCCTGCAGAAAAAGGGTCTCTTCTACCCTTGTACTGTGCTCAGAATTTCTCAGATTTCAGAAAATCTCCTTTGTTAGAACATTATTGTATGAATCTAATTGATTCAGCAAGTTAAGCCATCCTCAGGCAGTTAATAAAGATCAGTGGTTGGACTTTGGTATGCAGAACACAGCCAAAAATCTTCAAGAGGAAACATAGTTAAGTTTTTTTTTTTTTTTTGGTCTTTTTCCTTTTTATTGGTACCAGGGATCGAACTCACGACTGCCTGCTTGCAAGGCAGGTGCTTATGCTGCTGAGCTAAATCCCCAGCCCCCATAGTTAAGTTTTAAGACAGTAACTTCTCATAGAAATTGAGCTGAACTTTAAAGATATTTACTCATATAACTACTTTTCCTCATCCCTACAGGCAGGGCAGCCGGGCCCCAGTTTCGGTAGCTTCCAGGCTTCCCAGACGTTAGGTAAGGCTGTGTAGAGAAGGAGAATCCAGGAAGCAGGATCTGTCTGGGCCAAGCCTCCTCCACACTCACTTCCTGTAAGGAGCCTGGCAGGGCGGCCCCACACTTCCTGTTTTCCTTGGCACTGAGAGGCAGGTGGGGTTAAGAGCCTGGCTTGTGTGTGCTACCTCACGTTCCTTGCTGCAGTCTGTCAACCAGCTGCTTTCTGCAGGGTCTTTGTCCTGCAAAGAGGGCAGAGTCCTGTGATCCCTCGGGTCTGTGGTGCTCAGGTACCACTTTAGAGAAAACCCTCAAAGGATGTATCATGATGCTCTCGCAAGCCAGCCAGCGCGAGTCTGTGAACTGATGCCTACTTTTATTTTCTAGTCGTTTTTGTTTGCTGGGTGCTGGGGATCAAACCTAGGACCCTCGCCCATTCTGGGCAAATGCCTACCACTGAACTGCTCTCAGCCCCCGACTTTTAATGTAAAATTTTTCTAAATGTAAGACCTGGCTAAGAGCCTAATGCCTATTTATTTTGTTTTGAGAAAGTTAGGGCTGAACATTAAATTCTAAGAGGAAGATACCAGTAGTGTCCAATGACCAATACTGAATGGCATTTTTAAAAATATCTTGCAATATTTTTTATTTAAAACTTTTTTGTGAGTACATGTTTGTAGCACATAATGACTACATTAATCCTGGGAAGCTGGTACATGTACATAACACATCTTAACGTTTTTACCTTCCCCTTCTTTTCTCTCCTCTCCCTCCTAAAGATCTACCTCCAGGGTTCTCACTGTCTTTTAAACTCACAGTGATCCCAAGCTGACCTCAGACTCACAGCGATCTTCCTGCCTCAGCTTCCACAGTGCTGGGATTACAGGTGTACATTACCACATCCAGCCGGATTTATACTTTGGGTTGCTCATTTAAGAGAAATCATGTGACATTTAAACTTGCATATCTGATTTATTTCACTTAAAATTTTTGTCTTAAGATACATCCATTCCTGATGGCTATATTTATGTTTTTGAGGTGTCTGTCTGTCACCAGAGGGGGTGTTGTCAGGACAGTAAAATTCACAGTAAGTAAAAATTTAAGAGCAAATAAAGCATTCTTAAAAAATGATTTTATTCATTCAGAGGCATCAAGGGGACATGCCGCTAAGGAAGGTGCTAGCATGCGCTTTTATAAGGTTGATTATTTTAGAACCATTTGTGTGGTCAGATCTTGGCAGGAGGAAGGACCTCTTTACCCACCGTGTCCTCCAGGGCTTTGAGCGAAGGCCACAGGAGCCGGCCTGACTCTATTTGACCACCAGAGGGCACTGTTCACTCGCGCCCACAGCGCTCCACAGCCTTGGGAGGAGGAACCTGTGCTCACAATGGGTGTGTTCCAACTGCCTGCAAGGCCGATCACAGCTATTTGTAGAAACTTTCATGACCAGAGAAATTAAGGGACAACAGCTTTCCAGTTTTTAATAGGAAGAGTGGAACCTTTTCTGGGGGAGGGAGCCATACATGTCATAAAAGGGATGCTGTTGGCAGAGCTAAGGCCTCTTGGAATCGCTGCGTCCTGGGGGCCCCGGAAGCAGGAAGCAGGTGCAGCATTGTGCACCCTGAGGTGCTGGCCCGGTGCTGTGACCTGCGGATGTTTGCTCTGCCCCTCCTAGGGCGACCCCTGATAGCCAGAGGGGACCCGGCCAGTACTGACAAAGACACAGCTGCAGGAAGCGGCCTGAGAGGGGCTGTGACCTGGGCCCTGGCCCCTGGCCTCGCCCATGAGTCTGGGCAGATCGCTTTGTTTCCCATACCCAAGTTTATGTTGTGAGGGTAAGTGATTTGCACATGGCTACTCCTGAGGTCCTGGCATGTCAAAGCTCCTGCTGGGTGATCAGTGCCCAGCAGCTGCTCTGGTTGGGAAAGGCCCCTGGGGTTCCTGAACCCCACAGTCCTCTGGAGTTTGGCTAGCAGGACGGTGGAGGAGAGTGATGCAAGCAAGAGATGGTAAAGGCAGCATGGGGGAGGGGCGTGTTCAGGGCACCCATCTCCTCGGGAGACGGTGACCTGACCCTCACAGACCAGCAGGTAATGTCCCAGCCTTCAGGAGGAGTCTTCCTTTGCTTGGACACTTTTCCATTTGGCAGTTAAACACTGGCGCCGGGGAACCCTCATTCTGCCTGCCTCCTGTACCCTCCCCACACTTTGGGTCATTACATGGGCAAAGCCTGAACAGTGACTGCATTTCCCCTCCACGTTGAGCCACACGCACTGGGCCATGGGGCTCCAGTGCCTCGTGTAGGGGCTCGGCCTGCGGGAAGGGCACAGTGCGGTGACCTGCAACCTGCTTTTATTATTCTCTGACAGACTGCCCTGAAAGTGAGAGCTATCTTTACTGTCATACAGGGCAGTGCCCATCCACGTGTCCCATCTGCTCTTCAGAATGAGCTGCTTTTCAGGCACCAGCCGGTGATATTACTATCAGAGTTCTACTGCTCAGAAACTTTTACAAAACAGTAAGCCTTCAGAACAAAGTTGTTTCCTTTTGATGTGTGAGAAGGGAGAGTGCAGAAAACACTGTCCCAGAACTACATTTTTATATTAAGAGTCAGCCGGGGTGGCCACTCGGTCACCAGGTGGGGCTTGGTGGAGAAGGAGTTGATAGCCTAGCGGGTGGTAGATTAACAAAGCCAGAGGCTGGGCAATCAAGCTTTTAAAGAAGAGAAGGCTTTTGCAGATTGCATGCATTTAGCAGATTGGGTTTATGAAATTGTCCTCTACCAAAGTGTCAGATATACCTAATTTACCCCCACTCTCTCTAGCATGCTACAAAGCTCTGGGTCTTAGCGCCTATGTAGACGAATTTTAAATTATCCCTAATTTCACCACTGCTTCTCCATAGTACTCAAATAGCACCTGTCTTCGGTGGGGGAGGGGTAGTGCAGGCCAGGGAGTCTGAAGTGTTAGCACATTTAATTTTAGGAAAACCACTACTTTCAAACATACAGAGGCACAAACGGAGCAGACAGCTGCTAAAGAGCAGGTGGCGGTTCACAGAAAGCAGGCAGACTCGGGCCGCCCCGGTTAATGTGACAGCACGGTACAGTCAATGGATCTACGCGAGGAAACAGCTGCAGGGGTTGGACCGGCTTACATCAGTTCAAATTTCTGACTGATACTGAACAGAAGCCCTTTGTGACTTTGCTCCCTTGATATAAACAATGTGAGCTCTCCAGACTAGCTCGGGAGCCGCTCTCTCAGTGCAGCTCTGCGGGTCCTGGGGAGCTCATATTGGTGGATTTGAGATTATGATGTTCAGAGAAGCCCTGACTGCCCTCCCTGGGCTCAAAGGAAGTATTTACGTTTACTTTTGCAGACACATTAGTAAACTTAAGGTCTGGATCTGGGTTTCTAAGTCACAAACAGCACCTTGTACCAGAGTTTATAATTTACTGGCTACTTTTTCACAGATTCGGTGTATATATGCAGTTCCCTACAACTGTAAGGAAGGTGGCATGCCTTCCTGAGGGTGTTCCCTATGTGTGAATGCTTTAACGTTTCCGAGATTTTCTTAGCTCTGTAAACCCAGTTTTCAGGGGCTCTGAAAAACTTATTGATTTAATGGCCAGAAGACCCCTGGAACCATTTGAAAAAGTTGCACAGTTTCGCTCCCATTTGCTTTAAGAAATACAAAACAAAAGCTGGATTTTCAGGCTGGCTTCATTCATGTGACACAAACTGCAGTGCGGGTGCTTCGGGCTGCTGTGACTACAGGCGAATCCTCCCTGCTCCCCGAATCGCCCCACCCGCAGCTCTATCGCAGAGACAGCTGGAGTCCGAGGCCCTGGCCCCAGCTTCTCCCAGGGACCGCACTCTCTTTCCCCCAGTAAAACAGTAAATTTCTCCAAGGCCTGGTCCATTTTCTTCTTTCTTTATTACTGAATTAGTAAGTAATGTCACTGTCTTTCTGCACCAGTATTTGGACCTCAGCAAAAAAAATTGTCCTCTTAGTTAACACCCTTTCCTTCCGCGTTCTTAGCCGCCCTGTCATTTCTCCTTAGTCCATTTATGTGCGAGGTATATTTTTAGCTAAGAAACTTTTAAAAACAGAGGAAGAAGCCCGCCCTGAAGATGCTTTACGTGGCTCCCAATAAAACAGCTGATGTGAGCCAGTGGAGAGGCCGCTCAGGGGATTTCAGAGAAGGGAAAATGGTCTCATGAAGCAGATTCCTATGGGACAGAGATGCTAATAAGGGCTTTTGATCATTTGTACTCCAGGAACTCTATCTGCAAAAATCCCCTTGAAAATCTGGCGAGATTCTCCTGCTGGGGAGAGCACGTGGGCCTGGCTGGGGGACCCGCTGGAGGCTTGGGCTGGCTCGCAGCTGGGACCCAGGCTGAGGCCCAGCCAGGCGGCCCAACCCAGACAGACACGGCCAGCTGGCCAGGCCAGCGGGTGGCGGGGGAGCTGCTTTAGGACTTCAGAAAAACTCAAGACATTTGGTTGCCTGTGAGCAGCAAAGGGCTTGGCAAAGAATACACAAGGACTGTGTTCCGCTAATCCTCCAAGTTCAGGTTGCAGAGAGTTTAAGCCAGGGTTAAACAAAGCTGGAAGGCTTGGAGGAAAGAGAAATGGGTTTGTGGAGGGCCAGCAGACACTGTGGCTCTTCAGGGACAGAGGAAGGGATGATGGGACCTTGCTGAAGTGGTGGCTGAGGTGGCAGTGCAGCTTGCCTAGCCCATGCTTCCTTGCTCTTCAGAAATTCAAGACAACACCCTCCAAAAAAACAAAAACAAAATTAAAAAAGCCCCAAAGCACAAAACACCTCTGTTAAAGTCACATGGAGATGGAAGAAAATCTGCAAGGGGCAAAAAAAAAAAAAAAAAAAAAGGAAGGGGGTATATTTTTAAAAAAATATCCTTTACACATTGCTATCAAAAGTTCAGCATATTAAAATAGATAAACTACAAGCAGCCCCAGGGCCTTTGCTTCACCTTTTGAAGAAAAAATTCAAAAATTATTATATCATACCTGAGGTCAGTTTGTACTTTTTTTTTTTTTTTTTTTTTGCCACTTGGTAACTTTCTCTAAGTACATCCTGTAGACTTCACTGAAGACTTGTTACCAACTGCTGATACTGTGTGTGTGTGTGTGTGTGTCTGTGTCTGTGTATATCTGAAGTCCTATGCAGTTCAGTACCCAAGCTACTCTTGAAAGAGACTTGAGGGGCAGGAGAGAAAACCGTTGGCTAAGATAAACCATGACCTCCCACACCTCATTCTTCTTCTCTTGAAATAGAAACCCTGCTGACTTAGAGGTAGTGACACAATTCTGCTCCCAGAATCTGTGAAAAGTGAATAAGCTAAGATGAACCGTGCTGTGCACCTAATCAGTCTAACTCATACCGCTCCGATCCTGCTATTAAAGAGCTGAGCTCGAGTCCTCACGCCTCACTGCCACCTAACAGTCCTCACCGCCTGGCGTTTCAGCTTCCTCATCTGTGAAACTCAGACAGTTGCAAAGCTTTGTGTTTTAATCTAGTGAGATGCTGGGTGTGAAAATATATTCTGGAGAAATAAGCGTTAGGAGCCTGGCGTGCAGGTGTGTGCCTCAGACCGGTTTCTCGGAGTCTTTGGGGGCTGCTTCCCAGCACTCTGGGAGACTCTGCTCCTGGGGTGAATGCACTGGGTGGACAAGGCGCCCCAGCCGGTGCAGGGCATAAACCCACACAGAGGGGGAGGGCGGGGAGCCTAAGCGGCGCCATCCAAGTGCACTGTGTCCAACGAAAGCATCAAAACCCTGGCGACGGGAGGGAAAGCCACAGCTGCATTGGAAGCAGAGGTGTCAGAGTTAGAAGGCGGACAGACAGACGGACAGACGGACGCTCGCACGCTTGCTCCACTGGCTCTGCGCAGGGTGCTGGCGGGGACCGGGTGGCTCCGCAGCTCATGCAACACATGCGCTGTCTACCCAGGGCGAGCAGCAAGCCGGGCCTCCGGCCGGGGGCCAGAGGTTTCTTACCTTTTTGACATCCCTGACCAAGTGGTACAGTGTGTTTGAGGGCCCGTGTCTCTGAAAACAATAAAGAAGAATCAAACAGTTTTGCCAGTCAGGGGCCCTGGCCAGCAGGGCAGGAGGGTTCTAGCTGGTAGAGGGCAGTTGGTGACGGGGCCCCTTATTCTAGCTGCTCAGCTGACCAGGCTTTGCTCAGCACAGGCGCAGGCAGGAGTCAGAGTCCTATTTCACCAGGATCATGTGAGGGTGATGGTGCCTGCTTCCTAGGGAAGCCGCTCTGCGGGCCCAAACCTCACCGAAGGAGGTGGTTTTGCAGCCGGCAGAAAAAGGGGCCAGTTTACCCACTGGACAAACACCTGGACGCTTCCTCACTGTGACCTCTTTATTTCCCATAATCAATGAGAAAGTGTCTCAAAATAAGCACTTGGCTGACTTTGTCTGTGAAGGGACAGATAGAAGCACTTTAGGCTCACTGGACTTTATAGGTTGCTCCCGTCTGTTTAAAATGCAGTACAGTGAAAGTAGCCATGGATTTGTCTTGTTTTGATTTTTTTTAAATCGGTACCAGGGATTGAACTCACTACTGCCTGCTTGCAAGGCAGGTGCTTATGCCTCTCAGCTAAATCCCCAGCCCTTGTTTTGATTTTTTAGAGTTTTTTTTTTCTTCTTTCCATTACTGGGGCTGGAAGCCAGGCCTCGTACATGCTAGACAAGTTCTCTGCCACTGAGCTACATCCCAGCCCTGGCAGAGATTTTATGTAAACCAGTAAGCTTGGCTATGTTTCAATAAAACTTTATTCAGAGACTCCAGAAATTAAATTTTTTCCTATAATTTTAATAAGTCATAGAAGGTCCTTCTTTTGATTATTTCAATAATTAAAAAAAAAACAAAAAAATTGCTATGCTTAGCTCGAAGATGGTACAGAGGTGGATGTGGGCTGGACTTTGTTAGTTTTCCAAAACCTGGTTTAAAGAAAAAAGCTAGGAGTGGTTTGGGAAGAAGAGGACCTCAGGGAAAAGACTTGTGGGCTTGAGATAAGAGTCAAATGAAATAGATGCTGGTCTGTTGTCTTTCTGGAGCAGGAATGCTAGCTAAAATACAGGACGCCCCATTAAAGGTGAATTTTGCATTCTATGCCCCACACAGTGCTTGTGGGTACGCTCTGCCCTCCGTACCCGTGAGACCTGCACCCTTGGATTCTACCAACTGTGATTGAAAATATTCAGAGAAGAAATGGCATCCGATCTGAATGGACGCAGGTATCTTCTGGCCATTATCCCCTCAAAGAAATGGCATAACTACGACTTTCACACCATTTCCACCATGTCAGGAGCGTGTGCAATCCCCAGGTGACCTGCGGTGCACAGGAGGGTGTGCCTAGGTCATGCTGCTGGACCGCTGTACACGAGGGACTTGAGCATCCATGGGCTTTGGTATTTGGGGGCACCCTGGTACAGCTCCCATGCGGTGACAGAGGGACAACTGGACTTAGATTAGATAATCGGTCACTTTGTATCTGACCAAATGTGACCACCCCGGCCTGTGTGTTTATTTGCTAAATCTGGCAGTCTTTGGAGGATTTCAAGCAGCGATGGTGCATCCTTAGGCAGTGTTGTAACCTTTTAAGTATTGCTGTGTGCTGCCTTGACCACCTGGCCATTCAGGTGTGCTCATTCAGCAGGACACCTCCTCCCAGGGGATGCTGTGCCCTGTTGTGACTGAAGCTGCTGACAGGTCTGAGCTCAGAGCTCCAAACCTGGCTCTGCTGCTGACTGTTCGGCATGTGCACAAGCTAGAGAACTGAACAGGGACTCAGTTTTGTCATCTCTAAAATGGAATAATAGCACTTCATGCAGCAGAGCTTGAAGATTGAATTATGCCATGTTTATAACACCATTAAAAAGGCACTTATTCAATAAATGCTAGGTATTATTATTTTTATTACTGTGCCGTAAACCTTCTCAACGATCTTCCAGGTAATACCACTAGTTGTGTGGAGTGATGACATCTACCAGCATTTCTTTTTTTTCTTTCTTTGTTTTTGCTGTTTTGTTTTTTTGCTTTTTGTTTTTGAGACAGGATCTCACCATGTGGTTCAGGATGACCTTGAACTCATGGCAATCTTCCTGCCTCAGCCTCCCGAGTGCTGGGATTACAAGCATGTGCCACCATGCCTAGCTCCTACCAGCATTTTTTTTTTTTTTTTGGTCTTTTTGAGACAGGGTCTCACTGTGCTGTCCAGGCTGGCCTTGAGCTCACTTTGTAGTCCAGTCTGATCTTGAACTTGCAATAATTCTCTTGCCTCAGCCTCACGAGTGCTGGGATTACAGGTGTGAGCCACCATGCCCAGCTACCAGCATTTCTGAGTCTAGAATTTTTCTATTTCTTCCATTTATCACCAGTCTTTCTGATGAATCTCTACTGTCTTAGTTGAGCTATGCTACACTTATTTATTTCTAATTGAAAATGCCACTACCATAAGCATTAGTGTGTTGAGCCAAGAAAAATCTACGGAAACTGGGTGTGGTGGTGCATGCCTGTATCTCAGGTCCCGGGGGGCTGAGGCAGAAGGACCCAAAGTTCAAAGCCAGCCCGGGCAATTTAGTGAGAATATCTAAAAATAACAAGAGAAAAGGGCTGGGGGTGTAGTTCAGTGAAGGATCAAATACAGAAGACCCTGGGCTTGTCCCCAGGCCTGGTCCCCGGGCCCGCCGAACCCCAAAACTATTTCAGAGAAAACAGAACGAGGCAGAGCTAGATGGGTCTCATCTGATACCCAGCATCAGCAAGAGCCGGGCCAGCTGGCTCTGGCCTGCCCTGCTCTGTGTGGGTGTGTGTGGGGCGGGGGTGGGGGGGGGCAAAAACTTGTGTCAGATGAGTGGAGACATGATTTCTGAGATGGAAGCTTAGGCTGAATGCTGGTTTCTTTCTTTGACAGGAGTTTTGTGACCTTGACTGAATCACTTCTTGGCCTCTGCTATGGTTTGTACATTTGGGCATCCACCTGATTCATGGTCAGCTTAGTGCAGGAGAATTAAGAGATGGGCCCCCCTGGGGGGGGAGGGGTGGAAGGGCATGAGGGCCCCCATCCTGCAAATGGAATTGAAGTCTGAAACGAAGAGGCTTCGTGGCTGGCTGAAGTAGGGCATGCTTGTAATCTTGGCACTCTGGGGGGCTGAGGCAGGAGGATTGCAAGTTCAAGCCCAGCATGGTCAGTTTAGTGATTTTTATTTTTATCAAAAACAGAACAAAAAAAATAGGCATGATGATGTAGCTCAGTGCAGAGGCCCTGGATTAAATTCCCAGTACTGGGGAGAAAAAAAGGTAGGAGAGAGAGAGACAAAGACAGGTTCCAAACCCTGGGTCCTTCGTACTTCCTGCCCTCGCTGCTCAGGAGGACACACCGCTCATCTCCAGCAGGGGGCGCAACTCCAAGGTGCCGTCCTGCAGCTGGAGCTCGGGCTCTGGCCAGATGCTGAGCCTGCCTGTGCCTTGATCCTGGGCTCCCAGCCTCCAGAGCGGTGAGCCACACGTGTGTGTTCCTTACATGTGAGCCACCCCTCAGGGATTCTGGGATTGCAGCACCAGTAAACTAGCAGTTTCCTTACCTATTAAAAGGTGGAAAACAGTGTTCTTTCCCTTTCACTGGCCCTGCTCTAAACAAAACAAAGAAACTATTCTTTTGCAGGAATCCAGGTGCCTTTAGCGCCCTCCAGGGTCACAGAGTAAACCATGTTCAGATTTCCAGAGCCTGGTGGTTTTGTGTGGAAACGTGGGAACAGAGTCACCAGGAGGCCATGTGACTCTGGAGGGTGGGGTTGAGAGCTGAGCAGTTAGAACAAGTGGAACCTTGGTGAGCTGGCGTCCTGAGCGTACGCAGCACCAGGGAGTGGATGTGAGGACGCATCCATGCATTTTCAGGGGAGATGGGAGGAGAACCACAGGCATGTGGGGGCCAGGAGAAGGTAAACAAAACAACAGCCACGAGAACCACAAAACAGAGGACATACAAAGTGCCTTAGCTTGGCCCTACCGTATTGTACAATTCCTCTAGTCTGGAGATGGTGAGAAAACGGTGCATGCTTACTCCATTCTCTATGAGTAATTTCACAAAATCCACTCTGTCCAGAACGAGGGCATCCAGCATGGCTTGCTCCAGGGACCCCACCTGCAACACAAGTCACTGAATTGGTCCACCCTGGTTTCCAGGGGTGCAGGTCCTCGGCGTTCTCCCAGACGGCTTAGGAATGGACACCTGATGTCTGGTAAACGTTCTGCTCATGCAGGGACAGCTGGACTAGCCTGCGCACAGCACCTCTGTGGGGATAGTCACAATCCCTCCTGTGTTGGGGCATTTGTCTTTGGAAACGAAAGCAAAGGATTTTTAGGTCCCAGATCTATTCCTTTCTTAGTCACTTTCTTTTTTTAGAGCCTGAGAAGGCTGCAAGGGGTGACAAGGGTCCTTCCCTCGAGATTCCCTGTCCATCCTTCTCCAATGACAGTCAGATGCCCAGGTAGGCACCAAAGGACCGGCATCAGCGATGGCAAAGTTTTTAGAGACCAAATCTCCAGACCGCAGCCCCAAACCCACTGATGGAGCACAAGGCACCAACACTGCTGTTAAACCTGAGCACTCAGGTTTTAGTTTAGCAAAGCTAATTCGCACGCCAGCATCTTTTGTCTTAAGAGAGAACACCCATGCTATGGGTTCGCCACAACCGACCCAGATAGATGCTGGAGTCCTGTCCAGATGGAGGCTGACCGGTTCCACTTATTAACTAGGAAAATTAAGAAGCTAATTTTTGGATTTGACACTGGTTGGAATTTGTATTTAATCTCTTTCACAAAATTTTCCCAGCACCCAGATTCCTTGACCAATAATTCCACGCTAGTGCTCCACTACCTCAGCATGAAGGCTGTGGTCACCCTCAGGCAGCGTCCCCTGGGAGAGGGAGAGTGGAGAAAGATCTGCCTGTGAGCGGTGGATTCCAGGCGCACAATCCAAATTGCAGGCCCCAGGCCGCCTCCCGTACCTGCTCGCCTCTACCACCCCCTGGCCTATTTCCCAAGTTTTTATTTTTGGTACAGTCAGTTGAGGGAGACAAACAGGAGCAGTTATGTAAAACCCTGCACCCTGCGCGTTGTTCTGTGGGAGAAGGGAGGACCTGAGCTCAGCCCCCGAGGCCAGATGGAACCTGCAGACTGAGCTGCTAATTTTGCACTCTGACGCGTGACCCAGCCATGCACCGGCGAGGGCCACCCTTTGGAAGCAGCAACCTCTTCCTTTTGCCCGCCTCAAAGGCAATTAGGAACCTTCAACTCCTTTATTGCTTTTAATTCATACAATCAAGGCTACTGGCAGAGATGGAAATGTACAGCTATTCAGAGGAGCGATTAACAATAGTGCCCACCAGGTGGCAGCATTTCTCCAAGCATGAGAAGCGCTCCTAGGCTCGGAACTGTGTACGCACAAAGGAGGATTTTTTTTTTTTCCCAATCCCAAACAAATTTCTCCAGCCACTTTCCAGGCTCCTGAAGCAAACACCCTTGCCCAAGCAAGTGGGCTCTCCAGGGGTGACGACTTATACTCTACCGGCCACTGTTGCCCATAGATAAAAATCTGGCTGCGAGCGATGTCCACTCTGTTCCAGGCCAAAGCTAAGCTCAGCTGGTCCGGGGCTGAGGCGTTGGCTCCTGCGCACAGAGAGATGGAGAGAGAAGCACAGAGAGAAAACCGTGATCAGCATTTGGCGAAGAAGGCTCACTCTTCCTGCCACTGACCCAAAACAGCACCTTCCTCTGTTCTCCCCCAGCCGTCAAAGAGTGTCCCCAGCCCTATGTGGTAGCAAAGGGCTGTAATCCCAGCACTCTGGGAGGCTGAGGCAGGAGGATTGCAAGCCTGGGGGAGCTTAGTGATTTACCAAGAACTTGTCTCAAAACAAAAACAGAAACAAATAAATGAAAGACAAAGGCCTGTGGAAAATCACCACTCTGCAGCTGGGCTGGTGAGTGCGTGGTCCACCGGGCAGGAATCTTAACCCTCAACCCATGGCTTGTACTTTAGCGAGATCCTGGGTGCTCAGGGCTTCAGGAGCGCTGCTCCTGCCCCGACACGCTTTGCTTCCACTGGCCAGGCTGGTGTCGGGGCGCTCTGGTGTGTGTTTTGCATGGGCAGTGGTCTGGTCACCTCTCCACTGAGGATGAGCCAGGAGGCTGCTGGGGGCCACACCGTGGCTCGGGTCTACACTGATTTGTGGATGGGAACTGTGCAAGCCATTTTCTAGTTTCTCCCTGTTTTTTGAACTCTGCCTAGGGCTGTGTTGTTCCGCGTGGCTGTTTAAATTTATTAAAATGAACTGAAATGAAAACTGTAATTCCTTCACCCCATTAGCTGTGCTTCAGCACTCAATAGCTAGTGAATCTGAACCCAGAGACAGGATTCTCTCCTTAAGTAATTCCTTCCTTCCTGTGGCACAGGGGATTGAACCCAGGGCCTGTGCACTGAGTTGCCTCCTTAGTGTTTCTTAAAATTTAGACACAGGATCTGGCTAAGTTGTCCAGGCTGGGCTGGAACTTGTGATCTTCCTGCCTCAGCTTCCCAGAGTACAGAAATTACAGGTGTGAACCACCACACCAGGCTCTGGCTTCTCTTAGGCATGAAGAGTTGGGAAAAATGTTCTTTAGGTGAGTGCTTCTCAGATCCACACGTGTGTAGATCTAGCCTGGAGGACTTAAGAACACCTGGCTCCCTGTGTCCTGCCTCCAGAGTCCCAAAGCAGCTGCCCCAGCCCTAGCCAGAGCCCCAGCTCCTGCTCCAGGGTCGCCCCTGAGGACCAACTCTCTCAGGCCCTGTGGGGTTACGTTCCCTTCCCAGGTCAAAACTTTTTGGTACCACTGTCCACACATTGCGAATCATAGAGCTGGAGTAAATTGATTGTGTTTGGTTTTTACATTAAGAAACGAAAAAGACAAAAAAAAAAAAAAAGAAAGAAATTATTTATCTTTTCAGATCCTAACGGAGACTGTGACCTCACACCCAGGTGACTGTAATTAACAGCTGATAAACAGGAGTGTGTCGAGCACCAGCCGTATCATCAAAGGCTGACTCAGGCTGCATCTGGAAAGAAGGTATGTGATGCCTTCCTTTCTGTTTTTTCCCCCCTTTAAAAAATACATTTTTAATTTTAGTGGCCCACAGCCAGGGCTTGGACTGTTGGGGGTGTAACCTGAGAGGGATGCACACGCGTGTGATCAGATCTGTGTAACTGGTGTACCCCGCACCTCGCACACTTCTCTTTCTTTGTGTGGAGAACGTTCAAAACCTCTTCCTTGTTTAGTTTGAAATATGCAGTTAATTGTTCTCAAGCACGGTCATCCTGTTGAGCCTAGGATCCGGGAAGTTTCTTCTCCCGCCCAGCTGCTCCCCTGTACCCATTAATCCTCCTTTCCCAGTATCCCTTCTTCCCCTGGGACCACTCTTCTGGTCTCTACTTCTATGAGATCAACTTTTCACCTTCTCTGTGTGGGCGAGGAATGCAGTGTTTGCTTTTTGGTGCTTGATTGATTTCATTTAATAAGTGAACTATGCTAATCCCATCCTTGTGGGTGTACATGCCGTGACTTCATTCTGTTTTCCACTGAGTAGAATTGTATACATATCACACTTTAAAAATCCGTTCATCAGCTGGTGGAGATTTGGGCTGATCTTGCATCTTGCCAAGTGGGAATAGTAACACTGTGCACACGGGAGGCAGGCGCGTCTCTGACACACTCATTCTGTTTTCTTTTATATGTGCCTTGGAGAAGGATCGTTGGACCCTCCGACAGTTCTGTTTCTGGTTTCCTAGAAAGCCGTGTGTTATTTCCACGATGGCTGCACTAACTGCAGACCCAGAGCCGTGTGGGAGGGTCCGCCTCGCCCTTAGCTGGTCCCTCGGTGTTTGCTGATTTGCCATAATGGTTTATTCATTCTCTGTGCCTTTTGCATATCACAGCGTTGCCTGCTGCCCGAATGGTAACAGCAGCACAAGTCTGAACACAAACACATAGCAAGACGCAGGGACAGAGCTCTAGGTGAGCTACAGGCCTGAGTGTAACAGGTAAGTGTCAAACAGTGACACCTTGATGACACCTACCGAGACGATGAGTCTTGCCTTTTCAAAAACTGAAAATATATCATTCAAAACTGGCCCCGAGGGACAGAGTGGATCACCACAGGGTGACTGATCGTCCTGGGCTGCCTGCGTCCTGTGAGGTGCCTCGCTCCTGAGTAAGCTGGATGGCGGGTCACCCCGTCCTCCACTGTGGTCACTCACTGGAACTTCCTGCAGAGCTTTGCTATGCTCAGGCCTGGGACAGTCCTCCCTTGGAGAGTCGAGTGCGGTAGGTCCCAGGAACTGCAGGTTTACAAAGCTCCCCAGATGGTTCCACTAGGTGACTAGGTCAAGATCGAGAGCATAGACAGTATTTATTCATTCATTTTTCACTCATTTGTTGTTTCTTTCACCAGTTTGCATATTCAAAGATACTGATTTCACGTGTTCTCATGACAGGCACTGTGGCAGTTTGAGGACAAGCTGGATAAGATAGAATGGTTTGTTCCTAGCGCTTACAGTCTGGAGGAGAGATCTCTGCAGTTTCACACACCATCGCAAGCACTAGTTCCCCTGCTGTGTATTTATCCAATACCTTCTGTTCCAGAGCTGTCTGGGCGTTGGAAACTGACAGGACAGCTATGGTCACCCTCTTCAGAGAGCCTACCTGCTCCTCTTGCTGGTCAGCACTGGGACAGCAGATAAACCAACAAACACTGTACTTCAGGTTGCATAAGAGCTAGGAAGGAGTAGTGTCCCCCTGGGGTACGCAGCAGTATCCACAGAAGTAAACCAGTGTGGCAGGTGTCTGCAGTAACCCTTGGGCCAAGATGCTCCCTTCAAGGAGATGGGATCCTTGAACAGCCTCAGGGTGCAAGGAGCTGAGCTCTTGGGGCAGCTCGCTGACCTGTGGGGTACACAGGGTTGAGAAATGCCTTGAAGGGTTGAGGTGGATCTGGACTCCGTTTGGATCCTGATTTGGATTCCGGATGTCTATCTGTATCAGCACTGCTTTCCAGGCTGGTGCCCAGTGGGTGTGAAGACCTTTGGGGAGCACCTTTCTGGGCACTGATACCAGGGTGGTGTGATAGTGGCCAGGGTAGTGGGGAGCTGCTCTGGTGGGATGAGGGATAGGAGGCTCTCCTGAGAGTGACAGCAAGGCTGAAACTTAAATGACCAGAGAAAGATAGCATGTGAGGCTGTGTGTGTATGTGTGTGTGTGTGTGTGTGTGTGTGTGTTGGCAGGGTTCCAGGGAGAGGAAACAGCATATGCAAAAGTACCAATGTGGGAATGAATGCAGGTGGGTATTAGATGTACAGTTATGGTTTCTCTTTTGCAGGAGATCAGGGAGGCTGTAAGTGCATACATAATAATCACCCAGGGCTTAAGGGGTTAATTCACTGGACAAATACAATAAAAAAAAAAGCAATAAGCAAAGGGGGCAGAGCATGCAGATGGGGAAGTGACACAGCCAAGTGTATCTGGAAAATTCTCTGTGGGCCTGGGGTCCACTGTCAAAAGCACAGCGCTTGCATCAGAGAACTCATAGTGACAGGGAAGAATTTCCCTTCATCCCGGAGGCCTGGGGAGATCACTAGACTCTGTCTTAGAATTGGTGTGATCAGGTTTGTGTCTCAGACAAATCACTCTGGCAGCACAGTCTGCAGAAGAGACTGTAGGGGAAGAGTAGCCAGGAGGGTTTCACAACCTTCCAGGAAAGCGACACTGAAGACCTGAAGCAGTGACTGAGCAGGAAGCAGATCTAGGGAGCAGCGCTGCTATCCTTGAATGGTGGGGAGCAAGGGAGCAAAGAGAAGTGATCCCTTGACTTCCGGTTGGGAGTTGGGTGCATAATGGCCCAGAAATGCAAGAAATGATGCAAGAAATAGAAGATAAAACCTTGCTTTTTGAGAACAGCAAAATTTTACTTTTTTCTTTTTTTGAGACAGAGTCTCACTATGTTGTCCAGGCTGGTCTTATACTTTGTGATCCTTCGGCCTCAGCGTCCTGAGTGATGGAATCATGGGCAGCTAAAATTTCACTCTTGACTGCACTGAGTTTGAGGTACCCTGTCTTTGGGCATGGAGGTTCAGAGTGGTGAAGCAGTCGGGTCTGGAGAGGACATTCAGGAAACATCAGCATGCAAGGACAAGAAGAGGATGAAGGATGGATAACTGAGTAACAGTGATATCTAAAATAGGAGAGGAAAGAAGTCGTTAGAAAAGAAGCAGAGAGATAGGAAGAGAACCCAAGATCATGTGGCCTAAACTGTGGAAAGATAGATTGTGTAGGCACCAGGGCAAAGTCTGCAGAGAGAGCAGAAGCTCTGGTTTGGATGTTGAGTGTTCTACAAATGTTCCTGAGGTAACACTTGGGAAAGATGGTGGAAATTTGAAAACACATTTTGTGTTAGGTTGAGAGATGGTCCCCGATACACACCAAGTGCATTCCCAGGAATCTATATATTATCTATGTTTGTGTTACCTTACATAGCAAAAGATACTTTGGGAAGGTGACTATGTGGAGGATTTTGAGATGGAGCCATTGTCCTTGGCTATTTGGTCACAGGAGCCCTTATAAAGGTGAGATCGGGGATCTGA